CACGTGTGTTTGTTGTTGAAGGAAAAAAATATTGTACCGACATAGTGCGTTTATTTTGAAAGAGACTGTATGTAAACGTTAAATTTCCTGTGAAAACAGAAGTGTATTTTGAAAGAAGACAATGCATGTAACAGGCAGAACTTGACACAGTGTCCCAGAACGTCAACAACCAACACACCCAGGGTACCTTGGACGTCATATGTGGACGTGGAAAGTCCATGACCAAATGTCGATATGTGATGAGGTCGGAGTGACAATGTGTTGGTTGATTAGTAGATTCAGAGCATAGTAATTTAGAGTCTGAGCTGGAATTGTCTGCATAAAACTCCCAACATGGAGGTTGCCGAGCCAATGGTAGCAGCAAACACAGCTAACAGCACAAACAGTGCTAACAGCAGCAACAGTGTTGACAGAGCTATGGGGTGTTAATCTGGGGTGAACTGAAGTGTGAACATTACGCCTCTGTGACTATGCTCTCCTACTATCAGCAGTAGCTAGCCAATGGAACATATACACACAGGGACTCATGTACACACATGCATGCGCAGTTGGAACATCTACTACAACAAAGCACCACAAACTGAGTGCCATCTAGTTCCACTGAATTCAAAAGAAGACAGACATCTCTACCACCCATATCTCCAACACTCAACAACTCACACCAATATAATCTAGACTGTTAAATAACACAAGGTGGGGGAAAAAATGCATTTTGGATTTTTGGATGAATGGCAGCACAGTGGTGCAGTGGTTAGCATTGTCGCCTCACAGCAAGAGGGTTGCTGGTTCAAATCCAGGTGGGGGGTTCGAACCCCAGGGTGGGGAAACGCTTCTGTGCAGAGTTTGCATGTTCTCCCTGTGTCAGCGTGGGTTTTCTCTGTGTGCTCCAGCTTCCTCCCACAGTCCAAAGACATGCAGGTTAATTGGTGACTCTAAATTGTCCGTAGGTGTGAATGTGAGTGTGAATGGTTGTCTGTCTCTATGTGTCAGCCCTGTGATAGTCTGGTGACCTGTCCAGGGTGTACCCTGCCTCTCACCCAGTGTCAGCTGGGATAGGCTCCAGCACGAAAATGTTGGGTCTTAGGTAAAGGTTTGTGTCATTTGTTGTGTTTGGATCTCAAGTAGATCTTCAATAATCTACATGTACAAGTGGCTCTGATATAGCAACACTTTTGGCTAAAGACATAAAGCTTTGTCAGAGCTATTCATTGTCAGAGGTAGAGTGTTGGAAGACTATCAAACCCTCCTGAAAGTGTATATCATAAAAACATGGAACACTGCAGCCAACACTGAGTTGCCACTATGTTTCCCAGCACTGGCAGAGGGCGTCTGCCTGTGTGAGAGTCAGCTGTCTGTGATTGTAGAAGGTGATAACCCAGAGCTATGCGTCCACAACCACGCAGCCACTTGACACCCCATCCATGTGTTGTGAAGGAAGTGATGAGATACACTGGGATTTTAGAGAGGAGCTCCTCTAAACACATTATAGACGTTTTTTTGACATTTAGAGTAACATGGCCTAACAGATATGATGACTAAAGACTGGCACTCACCGAGGGACGTTTCCACTCAAACTTAATGGGGGGTTTATGGCTGTAGAAGAGTGAGGAGTCATTAGCAGGAAACAGGGGGTCTTCAAACACCACACCCTTCTTCACGTATTTGTCCCGCAGCTCCAGAAAAGTCTTAAGGCGCTTGGCATCCTTGACAGCCTCGTTCCTGCTCAGAATAGCAGAGTAGATGGAGTTCATCCCAGCAGGAGGGTAATCAGCTTTGTCATCTGGCTCGTATGATGCTTCTTTTTCAAAGAGCACCTTCACCTTCATCTCTTCAACAACAGCCTTTTTATACTTCTTCTCCCCCATCTTTGTCAGAGAACGTCTCAGCCTTTGGTGTTCTTGATTCAAAGTCACTTTATGAAGTGCCAAAAAAGAAACTCCTTATTTGCAGAAATAGAGCGTGAACTTGCAAAACAACCCAGAGAAACTTCCTGTGTCCTCCCCGACTCCGACAATCACTTTTAGTTCCTTTATTTGCTGGAAATGCTGTCACTGCTCCTGGACAGTCACCACCCGGCAGCCTCTCATACCAACACTGGCACAGTCTATGTTGTGCCCCTGAGTGCTGGCTGAGCCTAAATATAGGCCTCTTTAAAGGAGGGGAGGGGGCTCCTCAAAGAGAGACCCTGACACAACATTTTCAGGTTCCAGTGTGCTTAGCAGGAGATACCATCCAAAATCTGTAAATCTAACTGATGATATTATTACTGGGAGGGACGTTTTTAGGAAAGGTATTTGTAGAAAATAGTAGATGAGAGTCAGGTCATGTACCCAGTGGCATCCAAACTGTATGTGATACCCCCTTTTAAATAAATCCCTAAACTAAAAGGGATTAAAAGGCCTATATAGTGCTTATAATTAGCAACAAATGCACAAGGCAAGTACCACCATGTGATTGACTGTTATAATGTCTCTGTTCAACATCTATAATATCAGTTATATTGACACCTAGTGGTAAAACAAACGCCCTGACATTTACTTCCCTTTAAATGGTGTGTTATGACTGACTGAAGCAGCCATTCATCATAATTCAGTTTTCAGTTGGCCTGATTCTCTGCCACTCCACGCCCATATCAAATAAGAGATGGGAGGCTGCTGAGCCCGGGGTTGCCAGGTTTGACAGAAACCTGCAGTCTTGTTACAGCATACACCAGGATGAAAGGATATCTTGACAAAATTGTGCATTTTTTGTGTAACATGGTTCTCACAGTAAAACAAAAGTATGGGATGCTAGGAAATAAGAACTTTTTTTAGTCAAAATTATGAAATGGTAAACATAATTGCTGTCTGACTCTATCTTCTTTTTTGGCTTGACTGCCATGAGTATCTCTATTTTTAGAATTTCAAATATTTTAACTATTTTTTTCCTTTTCCTGGGTAACATTGCCTCATGCTATCTATTAATTATACACTCATTATTATTATTATTATTATTATTGTTGTCGTTATTATCACCAGTAGTAGTAGCAGCAGTCGCAGCAGTAGTAAGGGGTGGCAGCAGATCAGTCCATAGAGACTTGGCTTGGGAGCCACAGAGTCACCGACTTAACTTCCTGTACAGATCGAGTATGGAGTGTGGACTGGTAGCTGGAGGGGTGCCAGTTTGCGCCCTGGGCACTGCCGAGGTGCCCTTGTGCAAGGCCCTGAACCCTCAACTGCTTGGGATGCCTTTCCAAGGCACTGTGTGTATATGACAACAGAGTGAAAAAAATTGAATTTCACTGTGGGGGGAAATAAAGTATCAAAAAAGGTATATGTTATTTTTCTTCTTCTTCTTAAATATGCCCTCCATATCAAATTATAGGTGGTCTTGATTAAGAAAGTTTGTAACTTAAAGTTTATATAAGTGCATATGTGATGGTCTGGTGCAAAATCTGTGACTTAAAATAAATAAAATTTCAGCTGCAGAAAAGTATGTTTAGATTGTGTAACCATAGCCATTTAAAAAAAACGTGATTTTTTTCCATTATGTATAGCCGTAATGGCACCTCTCCAGCTGCCAGTCAAGGCTCCATATTTGGTCCGTACGGGGACTTGCACCAGCAACCCCCAGTTCCCAAGCCAAGTCTCTGCCTTCCCCATAATTAGTATATTCTATGCTTCTTGGGTGAAATTACTCACTGTATGTTCATAATAGCATATAACCATCTTCCATCCCGTTTGCATCACTGAAAACAAAGTTGCTCCAGGCCGGCCTATTGACCATCCCTGGCGTTTTGTTATCATACAGCACAAACCTGGGATAACCTCCCAGATGATGTTGGACGAGCCCTGACTGTAATGACTGCAACCGTATTTTTCAAACTCAATTTAAAATAATTTTAAATAACTTTTTTATATTTGTACCTCTTACCTGCACTTTTGCTATTTTTAAAGGTGTTTTTTTAATTGTAAATCATTTACTAATTATTTTTTACCTTTTATATGTTTTTCTCTTTACTCTTTTCTGTATCCTTTATTATGTTTTATATTGTATTGCTCTGTAAAGCACTTTGAATTGCCCTTGTGTATAAAATGTTCTATAGAAATAAAGCTGCCTTGCCTTGCCATTTGAACACCGCAGAAGGGGGACGGGACAAACCATATCTGGCAACCATACTCGGCTCTGACGTTACGGAGCTCGTAGTGCAGTGTGCATCTGGAAGTTGTCGCCATCATATCTGGCTAAATGTGTAGCTAGCCTTCAAGTCAGTCAGCCGTTGTTGTTCGAGGATATAAAGCTAATGACATCATTAACCCCTCCTTGTTTCTCCTGTCGAGTATCTGTGAACTGTTGTGATGTTAATAATCAGTGAACGCGTCTCGGACGGGCGCTGCTGTTGTTGTGTTGTCTAGTTAACTCACATTAGCAGTGGCTAATTTTCAGAGCACACATTAGCCGGAGTCTTGAGAAGCAGCAAGGGGCGGAGGGCTGCTAAAACCGTCGCTAGCTAGCTAGCTAGTTAGCTGGCTAGCGAGTTAAAACACCGAGCGGCGTTTAGCGTTGAAGTGAAGAAAGCGGTGGACGTTGTTAGTTAAATGCTCGCCAGTTGAGTTAGTAACGCACCATAGCCAAGGAGCTAGCAGCGTCACAGAGCTAGCTGCAACTCGAAGATTTTTTTAGCTAAGAAAGCTAACCAAATAACGCTGCGACTGTTGGAGTCTGATAAACTGGAGCTGGCATCGTTACATTTCCTGTTTTTAAAACGTATGTACTACCTCATATTTGTGATACAGTTTATTTCGGCCTTTTCTGTGCAGTGCTAATCAAGCTAACTTCTCCTGCAAAGTCTCAGAGGTTATTACTCAGCTGCAACCACCAAGTGCATACCATTGCTGTCAAGCTAGTTTGCCTGGTACTTCCTCAACAGCCCATTGTCATTGACTTAGACGCTGATATTGATTGTGGGCATGTCTGCGTGTGTGTGTCACAGCTGGCTGTTGGGCCTGACAACCAAGAAGATGTCTGAGGGAGAGAACAAGCAGGCCTCGGACACTGCCCAGGAAGTGAAGGCAGAGGCAGCTGCAGCCACAGGTCAAGGAGTGTCATCTGTCTCTCCCCCCGTGTCCATGGTGACCCAGCCTCCAGCCACCGCTGCCACGGAGGATGAGGAAGAGGAGAGTGAAGATGAGTCAGAGATTTTGGAGGAAAGCCCGTGTGGACGTTGGCAGAAGCGCAGAGAAGAGGTAGGGGATATATTTCTGCGGAGGGGTCAAGTTTACCTTCACTAAGGTATAAATTAGGCCTGATGCTTTATTTTGTCTTCCTTTTGTAGGTGAATCAGCGCAACGTCCCTGGGATCGATAATGCTTACTTGGCCATGGACACTGAGGAAGGAGTTGAGGTGGTGTGGAATGAGGTCATGTTCTCAGAGAGGAAGAATTTCAAACTCCAGGAGGTGGGTGCAGCGCGATGTCTATGCAGCCACTTGTGTCTGTGCACTACAACATAATAGAGATCATTGTATCGATTAAAGGATTTAAGGAATGAGAGGTTTCGACAAGGTTTAAGGATTGTGTTTCTTGTGTTCTGTTGCATTCTTTACTGTGATCTCTCTAACAATGTAGAAGCCTGCTGCTTTTCATATCCCCCTCTGGCTTTAAGCTCCTTAGGCTAGTGAGCGATCAGACTTGTTGCTGCCAGCAGCACAGCAAAGTACACACTGTAGCTGAACAGTCGCTGAAACAGTTTTTGGAAATTTGAAGGGGAGTGAGTCAGCAGAGTGGAATAAGTCGGAGGTTCTTGTTTGCTTAAACCTTTTGGCATTTTAGGCATTTGTCTAGGTGGTTTTGCATCATCCTAAAGTTGTTTCTATTATCTCACTCTTATCTTGGTTTGCGGAAATGACACAAGATCCAGTCTGTCTCATTTTTTAAAAATAAAAACACAATAATGAGGTAGTATTTCTGTTTCTAGCTACTGGATGCCCTTGAGTACGGCTGGTCAGGGACCAGTTAGTGCAAGACTGTTTGCAACACCCAGCTTTTCAGTTTTAATACATATGTGACAGGAAGAAAATTATGTTCTCAGTCTAACAGAGCTTTTAAGGAGTCAGCCCTCGAGCCGCTTGTAATGGATGCTCATTTACAGCTGTGGAATTTGAATTTGACCTTGCACTTACACGATAGTCTGTCCGACCCACTGACCAAGAGCAGGTCAGGCCATTAAGAATCAATATATTGTGAAGACATAATGAGCTTACTCAGTCTGAATTGTTAAATCTTGTTTGCAATACAACAGTTAATTCAATTTAAATGTGACACCATGGATTATATGCTATGGTTAATGACGTATGACATCATGTATTCATCACACATGAACTCAAACACTTGTTCAAACATTATAAAATCTTGTTATATCTCAATGCTGTAGTTTTATTGTTGTGGTAGTGTCTCAGTGTTGTAGTCATATTGTTGTTGTTGCTGTTATTTCTGAAGCCACTGTGTCATGATGAATATGTTCTATTTCATTATTGTGGTTTTTATATGATGGTGTCTCTTAGCAGAGTTTCCTGCCCAGGGACTACAGATGAAAATTAGCTTACAGTTAACTCTGGTGCAGCTACGTAGCTGTGCACTGCCCCTGTTTAATAAATGAAATAAAATGAATAAAAATGATGTCTGCATTCACGTGTAAAGATAAACGAAAAAGCAGTGTACAGACTCAAACAGAAGTAATCTCTCTCACTCATCTTATGACCCATTACAAGTGTGTTTCTGTGTTTGGGATGTTCATGGGCGTGAACTCCCACAGCGCTCAGGTGAGGTCGGGGCTTTATAAAAGAGGTAGCATCCAGGTGCCTGACTGTAAGCAGCAGGCATCCAAGAGACAATAAATAAAAAAATAAAAAAATATAGTGAGCCAAAAAGCTAAACGAGAGTGAATCTGGGATTGGCTTTTACCTTGACTGGTGAGTGTTACTGGTGTATAATGTACCTTTTAAAGTTGAATTTTTTTTTTCTGTTTTTCCCCACAGGAAAAAGTCAAAGCCGTTTTTGACAATCTGATCCAGCTGGAGCATTTGAACATTGTGAAGTTCCACAAGTACTGGGCAGATGTCAAAGAGAACAGAGCGAGGGTAAGAGCTCATCTCCAACATCCTCTTTTTATCTCATCATATAGAAAGTGTTGAGTGCAGTGGATTTTAAGCTAATTTCTTTGTATGTCGTCTTTTTGTCTGCAGGTTATTTTCATCACTGAGTACATGTCTTCGGGAAGTCTCAAACAGTTTTTGAAAAAGACGAAGAAAAACCACAAGACCATGAATGAAAAGGTGTGAAATCTCTGCTGTAACTCATCAACGGATTTTGAAAATAAGTTGATTTACAGTTGATTTAAAACCCTGTTTAGTCTGTTTAGTTTCTTAAAAGCTATGTTTTGCATTAACTTCAATTTCTGTAACCTTTATGTCTCTTCTGACAGGCCTGGAAGCGCTGGTGCACACAAATACTGTCTGCTCTCAGGTGAGTAGAACAAAAGTGCAAATATCTGTGAACTACTTCTTGACACAATTCACAGTCCAAATACAAAGATGTTTTTACAACAACTGCCATTAGTCAGCGATGTTACATAGTCCCAGTCAATTAAAAAAATTCATATTTGTCTTGAAAGTGGCGTGTGCATTTTAGAATTACCAGCTGCAAACAAAAAGACTTGTTTGTCCTGTGGTGTTGTGGCAGGTGCTTTATTGACATAACCTTTGCTTGCACTTCTCCAGCTACCTGCATTCCTGTGAATCTCCCATCATTCATGGCAACCTGACCTGTGACACCATCTTCATCCAGCACAATGGCCTCATCAAGATCGGCTCAGGTAGAGATCAGTTAAAGCAACAGAGATCTAAGATAACATCAGGACAATGTAAAGCCGGTGTTTCGTCTCTCTTTAGCTTTATGGTTGTTTTCTATACTACCAGGAATGCACCGTTGCCAATTTTTTTGTTGACTGCTTATTTTGTTTTTGTTGTTATTTATTCCCCACTTTTTATTATAAAAAGCACTAAACCAAACTCTCCTAACCTCTCTAATATCTGTTTTATTTTGCTATGGAAACACTAACAAATTTCTTCTTCAAAAACTGTATCTATTCAAGTTTTTTGCCAAAAACTTAATTTTACAAGATTACATGTGAGAAAATCATGAGAACGTTATTAACCTTCGCCCAATACTCATTTGTACTGAACAGAGCGTGAACGCACCATAATGAAACTCATTGTGACCTCTGTCAGCAGTTAGTTCCAGCAACCCTCTGCCTACAGCTAACGTTAACAAGCTCTCCTCCTGCCGACTTCAACACAGATTTGCTGTTCACAATGTAGCATGTATATTTAGAAGAGTTTAAGGTATACGTTATCTAGGCAGCTGTCTGTTTCATTTCACTCGATGACTGATGGAGAAGTGGTGGGATTCAGTAAGTTTATACTTCCTCCCACTCCTTTTTGGATGTGTGTGTGTGTAGCCATACATTGACAATTGCTTTTATGCTTTTCAATTGTAGTAAGTATTACTTCTTTCAAATATTATATATATATACAGTGTGTGTGTATATGTGTATGTGTAAATAAATAAATAAATAAATAAATAAATCATACAGGGAATGAATACAGAGCATCCCCTGATGCATCAAGAGTGAGTTTACTGCGTCCTTTGTTCCCGAAGGTGTCCTGGGGAAGATTTCTGTTTGTTCCAGACACGTTTTCTATTGTCCCTGGGATGACGGGACGCTGTCAGTCTCAAGCCCTGCTTTTTATCCTGCGCAAAATTGATGTGACAGAACAGAAAACTATCGGCCACTGGCGTTGGTGAATGTCATCTTATTTGCAGATGGGCCGATGATTGTCAACACGGCCCGTTTCAGCTGATAAATCTGTCCATCCCTACATACTACAGATGCCCTCACTGTTATTGTTAGTGCTATGTCTTGTATTGGTGTTGCTGTTACTAAAACTTTTCCCCATTTTTCAGTCGCTCCAGACACCATCAATAACCATGTGAAAACCTGCCGGGAAGAGCAGAAGAGCCTTCACTTCTTTGCTCCAGAATATGGAGGTAAGATCCTGTCATTTGTCATCAAAAGTCCTGTAAGTTTTTGAGCGTAAGCCAAACAAAATCATCACCGCTGGTTCAATCTAGGGACCTTTTGTTGCATGTTGAATCTCTCTCTCTCTCCTCGTTTCCTGTCTGCTTCTCTCTTTCATCTGTCCAATAAAGGCAATCGCCAAAAAAAAGATCCTGTGATTTGTCTCACATACCGTAACTGTGTTGTTATTTCTGTTTTCAGCTGTTGCCAATGTTACCACAGCCGTGGATATCTATTCCTTTGGAATGTGCGCCTTAGAGGTGAGAGGAGCCCTTGTTCTGCATAATCACTCGTTCTTTTGTTTACGGAAAATATGCTTGACTGGTATTGCACCGATGTAGCAGCACGAAGCATCTCTAAAGCTGGAGTGACTTTTTTTAAAAGTTTGCTTTAAGATAGTGTTAGTTTGCTTTTTGCAGCCGTCACAGGAATAGAAATCAGGATGTCGGTTGTTTGCAAGACAGGAAATGTGGCAATTTAAATAACTCTGTTTTTGGTGTAAAAGACACTTAGCAGCCAGGTCTGAAGTGATGATCAGTGTCCCAAAAAAGCGTTATGTAATATGAGAGTGGCTGCTGTTGACATTTTGTTGTTTGTATTTATGACTCACTTCCAATCGACACCCTTCTTTGTCCAATCCTTCCCCTCAGATGGCTGTGTTGGAAATCCAGAGTAATGGAGATTCGTCTTATGTGTCCCAAGAAGCCATAAACAGTGCCATTCAGTCCCTAGAGGACCCACTGCAACGGGTGAGTGAAGCAGAAGCAAGCATTTAAAGCCTTCATGGCTGTTTGGAAAATAAATCCATCAACGTGAGTTTTTTCCCCCCTCATGCTTTCTCAGGAATTTATCCAGAAGTGTCTGGAGTTGGACCCCAGTAAGCGACCCACAGCGAAGGAGCTGCTGTTTCACCAGGCCTTGTTTGAGGTGCCCTTACTCAAGCTGCTGGCTGCACACTGCATCGTCAGCCACCAACGTGAGTGGAAACACACACAGTGTCATACCTGCTGACATTGGGCTGTGAAAAAGGGGAGATTTTTCGGGGGATTTCAGCAAATGGCCTACCCCCAAGGGCCCCTGCCCTTATATAACCCTACACCACAGATGACTAGAATAAATACAAGGATGTGAAAGTAGTCATACATTCATGGGTTACAGTAAAAATAAACATATGAAATGTACCAGAAGGTGCACAGAGCAGTTTGACAAAGAGAGATTTTCAGTCTTGAGGCAGAAGCTGACGCGAGTTCAGTCAGGCAGGGTCAACATCACATGCTCCACACTGGGTTGTCAGATACTGCAACATACTGTGTTAAGGAGATTATACTGTCCTCCTGTCCTATCTGGGAACACATATCCCAGACAGAAACACATGAGAAACACCCATTTGATTTGTATATCACTGTGAAATCTGGAGATTAGCAGGAGAAATAACCAGTAGAGGGCACAGTGGGAAAAAGATTGTTAATTGTTGCATTTATCTTGCAAGTGTACTCTTCTTCAACATTTTGTTTACTTCCTGGATTTTTCCCACATTGAAATTCTGACCAATCAAGAGCAGCTTGTAAATACTGCCGTGAGAACATGAACCAACTCTTGGCAATTATGCAACTTTGAAACAAAATAAGTCTCTGATTCGGACCAAAGCAAGACAACTCAAGGTCTGTCTGAAGTGTTTTCTTACAAGGCCAAATCAGCCATTATTCATATGCCAAAGAATGATGACCTTATTAATTTTGTTTATAGGACATGATGCCCCAAAACCAACCATGCACAGTCACAAAAATAAAATAGATGGGTGAATGCCATCTTCTCTGTTTGCCTGTAGATATGATTCCAGAAAATGCTTTAGAAGAGATGACAAAGAACATGGACCCCAACTTGGTGATTGTTGAGGCCAAGGATGGAGTTCAGATGAAGTAAGTCTGAGTAAAATCCCACAACACTGACGTATAGAGATAACTGGATCACAAACTCTGGTGAAGGAAGGAAAGTTTTGGTTTTCTGTCTTCGTATGATCACGTTTAATCCAACTGGATATTTATATCCACATATGTAAAACACTGACAAGATTCTGTCTGTACTTTTTGTCATTATATTATTCTGCTCTTGTGTCAGTGTTATGTTTTCTTGGTCCTAAAGGTTGTGTTACAGTTAAATGATGCAACACCTGAACTTTCAGGCTTGAGGGGAGTGGAATGAAAAGTTGCCCATGTTGCCCAGCTTTTTCCTTTTAACTGAGTTAAAGATTCATTCACTCTCTGGTCCCGATTGGCTGAACGTTCAAAATAAATAACAGCCTTTCTTCTGTTTCAGGCTCTCTCAGTTTCCTGCCCTTGAGCTGGACAAGTTCCTGGAAGATGTAAGGTAAGAAAACCGTTATGATACAACGTACTTGGAAATAAATTTGCTGTTGATTTGAAGATTCTGGCTCGAATGTCTGGAACAGCTAGTAAAAGATAAGTGGGGAAATAAAATGAGAATTGCTCACCCTCCACTGACACAACAAAAATCGTTGTTGTATGCAGTCAAACATGGAAAATCTAAAGTAGGGCATCGTATGTATGTTACATACATGCACAGTCAGCAAAACCCAAGTTTTAAAGATACCCTCTGGTGTTGAGGGCAGAACTGCGCAGCATGAAATCAGCTGCAGTTGTCCTGAAGTTATGCCCCTTTTTCTTTTGATGTATCAGGAATGGGATCTATCCTCTGACTGCGTTTGGGATACCATGTCCACAACAGCCTCAGCAGGAGACGGTGAAGTCGCCCATAGTGCCCCCGTCAGTGAAAACCCCGACTCCTGAACCTGCAGAGCTCGAGACCAGGAAGGTAAGAACTGACGCACAGGACCGCACAGGAATTAAACCTCTGTCACCAAAAGAAGGTTTTCATTTTCAGTGCTCATTTAGGTTTTTTGGATTTGCATTTAATTATTTATTTGCATGTAGCTTGTTTTCTGATGATAGTCTCCATGCTGATGCTTCATATCTTAAACTGTTTCCCTTCATAGGTCCTCCAGATGCAGTGCAATATTGAGCCTGTTGACGAGGGCACTAAGCACCATGTAAGTTTCAACTCTGAGTGATGAAGTCATGTTTCTGCTCCTTAGTTTTGTATGTTGTACGTGAAAGTGCTTTATTGTGTCTCTGAGTGTTTTGTTCTCCTTTCAGCTGACCCTGCTGTTGAAACTGGAGGATAAACTCAACAGGCACTTAAGCTGTGATTTGTTACCAAGTTAGTACATTTATTTCTTGCCACGTGGACACATTTCAACATACCAAATACTCTCGCTCTCAGTTTTTATCATCATTTTTTGCCTTTATTTAATAGATGTAATTTGACATGTGAGAGATAAGGAATAACGTGCAACAAAGATGTCAAACCACATGCAAAATGGGGACGTTTGGTTAATAGTTGGCACCTTAAACCTGTAGACCACCACAGCACCGTGTCTCCATCAGTTTTAGTATCACGGGCACTTTATTGTTTGAAAACTAAGGTAGATTTGCCCTTTTGGAAGTTTCATTTTCTATCACATCACCATTTTGCTCGTGGGTTGCATTTGTGTACATGCCAGGGTTTGCACAAGGTGCTCGGCATACTTTAGTTTGGCACTAGGAAATTTAAGCACTACAATACGTTAAAATGTAAAAAAAATAAATAAATAAATAAATTTAAAAAAAAAAAAAATTAACTTGGTTCTTGAAAAAAGTAACTGAATAAAACTGAGGGGAAAACATTAATGAATTATTTTATGAAATGTATTGGAGAAATGTTTTAAACTAGGAACCCAGAAACACATGTGCTAGCAGTTATTTTCTCATGTTACATCTTACATGCCAGTAAATAGATTTGGTAGCAAAACGCTCACACTAGAGCAGTGTCAGCTTGAGTTAAGAGCTGTAATTCGGCAGCAAGTAAGCAGCCGTGTGTGTCTGATTCTGGATGGTGGAGTGGATTTGGAGATTGTTGGTCGCAGTGGTGGCTGTTAGCAGCTAGCTTTTGCTTGTTAGCCACTGAACTACAGCAGAGTAAGCAGCCACTGGACTTCTTATCTGTTGATCCTCACAGGACTCCACTCAGATCTGGCTTGTGTAGAGAAGGTTTATGTTTTGTTTTGTTTTTTTGCTATTTGACAGGCAGGTAGGAGGCTCGGTTATTTTGAGAGCTGTAAGTTAACAGTCTGAACTCAGTACAGTGTTCTCTGACAGAGCTGAAAGTCCAGTTTTAATCACAGACTCTGTGAGAGGACATAAGTTTAATCCTTTGGAACCTGAGCACATTGGCTTGATTTCTTTCAAAAACATGGGAAGAAGGCAATGAGCAATGAAAGAAGAAATGACCCCCCAAAAAATGCAAGAAATTAGTAAAAGAGAAAATTAAAAACAAGGAAATAAGTAAAAAAAAAAGTAGAAAAGTAAGTTAAAAACAAATGAGGAAATGACCTGTAAAAAGTGCTTAAAAATGATAATAATTATGTACCATGATTTTAAATATGTAATAATAAAAGTATTTTTTCCCAAGCTATTTTCTTTTTCCCCAGCTTTTTAAAAAAAATAATTTTCTAAATCTATTAGTTCTTTAGCAAGTTAAAATATATATAAACAATTTGCAAGGAATTTAAAAAGAGAAAATTAAAAACAAGGAAATTAGTTAAAAAATTTTTTTTTTTAAAAAAATTGATAAAAAAAGAGAGAGAGGGAGAAAAGAATGTTAAAAACAAACAAATGAGGAAATGACCTGGAAAAAGTTTTCAAAAATTATAATAATTTTGTACTGTATAATGTTATAATAATGTAATTTTTCCCTAGCTATTTTTGTTTTTCCTGTTTTTTCTTTTTTAATTTTTTTTTTTATTTTTACTAAGTAAAAATATATATTAAAAATTTGCAAGAAACTAAAAAAAAAGAAAACAAGAAAATTAGTTTTTAAAAAAGAAAAGAATGTTAAAAACACACAAAGAAGGAAAAGAATTGGAAGAAGTGCTAAAAAATTATAATAATTATGTACCATAATTTAAAATATGTCATTATAAATATAATTTTCCCCAAGCTATGTACATATTTTCCAGGGGAAAAAAAACTAAATCTATTATTTTTACCAAGTAAAAATATATATCAATATATATATTATCAAATAGATATATATTTTTACCAACTTACCAAGTTTCTCACTGCCTTTTCACCGTGTTTTTGAAAGAAATTGCACCAATTTGCTGCTCAGCGTTCAAAGGTTTAAATACTTTAAAGGGTTAAACACCCAGACTAACGTTGGAGATTCAGAAAGAATTCAGACTGAAATAAAGTTATTTTTCTGCTTCTTAACAGTGTGATCAGTGATTGTGGAGAAAATAGTTTCACCCTTGAAAACAGAAATGAGTGCTGATATTCAGTGTGGACACTGGTAGAACATAGTGTTTCGATCCAAACTCCACCTGCTGCACCTTTAATCACTTGAGTAACAAACTGAAATACTTTAAGGCTCATTATGTGAGAGCTGATAACACTAGTGTGACACAGTTGTTACCAAAAAAAAAAGGAGAGATGCATCTCATCACCCTGCCATCATGTATGTGTTCTGACTGCTTGTATGTCTGTTCAGATGAGAACGTGCAGGAGCTGGCTGTGGAGCTCGTCCAGCTGGGATTCATCAGTGAGGTTAGTGGAGTTCATCATCATCATCATCATCATCATCATCATCATCATCATCATCATCATTATGACCCTGCTGACCTGAACACACATGCTATTAGTAGCATAACCACAACAAGCCCCGGGGATATTTTTAACCTCGCTGTCTCTCCATTTCAGGGCGACCAGCCGCGACTCACATCCGTTCTTGAAGAGGCCTTTTCAAAGTTCTACAGCCGGAACGGTTCTCTCAATCCGGTGACTGTTTCCTCGTAGCGGAGGACTCACATCGGCCTTCTTTCAGCCCTCCTCGTCCTCTACGACAGGACTAGCTTTTTGCTCCACATCTCTGAGTTGCGGGAAAGCTTTGCGAAGACAGAGGAGGAAGCCTTTTGTTTGGTTGCAGATCCTGCGGCCTGTTGTCTGTCGTATCTTCTGGTGGGAAAAGCTGCCACTAAGTGGTCGTCGCTTTCTATCTTATTTTTTTTTCTCTCCCACCCAATACAGCCATCTGCTTCTCTTTTAAAAGAGGAAATCCTAGTCGCAACTTAAAGGAAAATACAAACGTGTTCCCTTTTTTGGCTTATTTCTTTCACTTCTCAAATAGTGAAGACAGAGGTAAGCTAAATAAAACTGGATACAGCAGCATTTTCCTTAAGTCAGTATTAAAACTGTATTTTAAACATTTTTACTTAAAACTGTTTAATAGTTGTCTGTATAAAAAAAAAAAACTCTTTGTCCCGGCATACTGAAGTGTATGTGTTATGGTGTTGTAAGATTAAGTCTGGTCCTTTAAACTTTCTCTCAAGCAGCGAGTGAGGCATCTTCCTACCTTGTATCGGTTTTCGAAGGCTCTCAAACGCATCAAGCTAGCAACGCAACAGATGTCACTTTTTACTTCAAAATTCTGTCATCATATAACGTAGTCATGACACCTGCAGCCGCAACACAATCTGAAGAGCTGCAGCTAAAATATATATAAAAAAAATCAAACTATTTATTTGTGTATTTTTCTTGAGTGTGTACTGTACGTCACTTGCAGCACTAAGGCCGGTGGTTGTTTGAATGTATGCTTTAACTTGCTCTTTCTTTACATCACGCTGTTATTTTCTATGACTGTGGTCCAACTACTACTGTAGCTTCTGTTCTCAAAGTAGCCCGTTGCAGCACATACCGATTAGGCCATGGTCGTCAGGTGACGTTTTACGCAGGAGAGGTTGAAGCACATGATCTGATGGATGTTCCTCAACAGTTGCGGATGCATGTGTGCTTTTCTATGTCTACGTGGAAACTGATGCATGCAGCAAGCTCGCTTCAGGTGTTGGTTCAATTCTCATTTTAGCAGCGATGGTGATAGAGAGAAAGTTTTGTCAGCTTAGGCCCGTCAAAATTCAGATCACGCAACTCTGAATCACCAGTTTCCTGTGTGACGCCAGAGCTAAAACTCTGCTCTCGCCATGTAGATACTCACGTATTAGCTCCGACCACCCTTCTATGTTAACTGTTTGGGGATCTCTCTCTGTTAGTTTGCACTGCTGTACACTTTTATATCTTGTCGGAAAATGTCCTCTGGCTTCCTAGCAACAAATGGGAGGATGAATTGGAAATGGCGGCGTTTAAACCTGTAGTCAGTGCTCCAGTCGGCTCTATGCCATGACTACCTTCTGAAGGGTCTGTAGATACTTCGAGATACAAGTGTGGAACTGCCTGGCATGCTTGTAACCATCTTGTATGCTGGACACTGTGCTCTGTTTCTGCAATGCATTTACCCCCCTTTTTTTCACTTCCTGAAATAAAAATGTACACTATCAGCACTTGCGTCTTTGTTTGGTGTTGTCGACATTCATGATCAAAGAAAGTGTATTTGGAAGGAAATTAAAGACTTCACAGTGGTTCCCAGGCTAAGAGTTGGGGCCCCTGAAGCTGGGCTTGTCAAGGTTTGATAACTGCAGTATCAACAGTCTGTTTATCTCAGGCTGCCATTAGTCATATCAGAACACTAGAGAACAACGACTTCAATAATAAGAGGAGTGTCAGTTTAGGGAGCCAGCACATGATAAAGGGCCACACGAGAAAAGAACACACATAAATAAAATGTTTTCCATCTTATTAACCTGCTGAGCTGTCCACAGAAATCGCTAACTTAAGCTAATAGCAATATCACTGATGACAGAATATTTTTACCATGACACTCATGAGGTGCCACTAGCTGCCATGCTGCCAGTAGTTCAATACAAGTTGTTATCACTAACCCGTCAGACATTTGATAGGGGGCACAGTTTGATGTAGCAGCCAAGACGTGTATTAAATGTAAGCTACTGAAAGTGAAAGTACTGATATGGAGCGTGGATGATTAAAATGTAACATGAATTTTATGTCATCTTCTGGAGCCGTACGGAATGTCTCTGTGGACCAATATTGGCCTACAGGCCGCGTTTTGAGAAACTTAACTATGACTTTTATAATGTTTTTTTGATGGATTTTAGGCATATTAAAGTAGGCCTTTTGGTGACTCTTGGCAAACTATACTATGACTTTTTGTGACATTTTCTTTTAATTACATGATTTCATACAACATACTATACTATGACGTTTTTTCATGATTTCTGACAACATACTATACTATGACGTTTTTTCATGATTTTTGATGACATACTATACTATGACAATTTTTCATGATTTCTGACCACATACTATATTATGATGGGGTTTTTTTCATGATTTTTGACGACATACTATACTATGACGTTTATTGAATGATTTTTGACGCCATACTATACTATGACTTTTATTTATAATTTTCGACGACATACTATACTATGACTTTTATTTATAATTTTCGACGACATACTATACTATGACTTTTATTTATAATTTTCGACGACATACTATACTATGACCGGGGTTTTTTTTAAATCATTTTTGACCACATACTATACTATGACATTTATTGAATGATTTTTGGGGACACACTATACTATGACCTTTTTTGTGATTTCTGACGACATACTATACTATGACATTTATTGAATGATTTTTGACACCATACTATACTATGACTTATTTATAATTTTCGACGACATACTATACTATGACTTTTATTTATAATTTTCAACGACATACTATACTATGACGGGGGGTTTTTTAAATCATTTTTGACCACATACTATACTATGACATTTATTGAATGATTTTTGGCAACATACTGTACTATGACTTTTTTTTCATGATTTTTGACAACATATTATAGTATGATGTTTTTTCATTATTTTTGACGACATACTATACTATGACATTTATTGAATGATTTTTGGCGACATACTATACTATGACGTTTTTTCACTATTTCTGACGACATAATATACTATGATGCTTTTTCATGATTTTTGACGCCATGCTATACTATGACTTTTATTTATAATTTTCGACAACATACTATACTATTACATTTTTTTGTGATATTTGACAACATACTATACTATGATCTATTTTCATTATTTTTGACGACATACTACAGTATGAGTTTTTCATGTTTGCGGACATCTTTTCAATGATTTTTGGGGACATACTATACTATGACGCTTTTCGTGATTTTTGACCATATACTACGCTATGGTGTTTTGTTCATGACTTTTTATGACATACTATACTGTTACTTTTATATCACATTTTTTATGACATCCTCTATCATGACCTTTTTAATGACAAGCTTAAGTGCTCCTTAAGTGCATCCTCCTGAGGTAAAAATATTTCTTTGCTTTATATCTAGACTTCTAAAAGGAGTCCCACCTTAAACTGTTCAGGATGCATGTATGTGGAACAATTTAGGAAAGAAGAAAAAGTACTTGTCACAACAGAAAATGTTTTCTTTTCTGGAGAGTTTCACCGACTTTAGGCTAAAACATTAATTTATGTAACTAAAATAATCTAATTTTGTTGTTTCTATTGCAAAAAGAAAGGTACATTTTGGATTATGATTTATAAAAAAAAAAAAAAATTCGGTTCCAAGTAAAATAATGTATGGACACATACGAATGAGACAAAGTTCAATTATTTAAATTATTTATACAAAAAAAAAACCCTTTCGGGTGTATCAGAGTGTGATCTGTACCCTCAGAGCATCACTGTTGGAGTTATTTGTTCAAAATTTTAAGAAACTGTAGCCCTTGTACAAGTATATTCATGTACATACTTAAAGTCACAATGTGTGCTCAAATAACTGTTGAATAAAACACATTTCATGCTGACAAACACAGTGCCGTACAAAATTACAGCAGTATAATAAAAGTACAGCAAGACTAAAAAATATTTTTGATATAAAACACTCTAGAAACACACTCTAAATAAAAAGCTACCAAAATGGCGACATCCAGTTCATGAGTGTTTTTCAGCTGCGTGGATATTTTCAATTCTGTACAGTGAATTTAAAAAAAAAAGAAAGAAAACAAACAAAAAACTACAAAAACAGTACATAGCACTTCAATTCAAACACATTACTCTTTCACATTAAATTTGTTTTTTTACTTCCCAGTTTGAAAGTAATGTATATAGGCACAGTAATTAAATTCATGAACCATGTTTGGTCAACACCATTCCTTGTTATTCACAACTCCACTTTGACTCGTGGACGAAGTCTGATTCTGGCAAACAAAGTGGAAACACTCAGTCCACTTCTTCACACTGTATCTCTTTTCCAGAGGTTTGCCTTTCTTGAGCCGAGAGCTGCCAAATGTAGCTGTTAGCTGTCAGTTGAAAGAGATATTCTTCTCCTCAACTTTATCTTCATCGCTGCAAATTGTTCTCAAGAAACTTCCATATTGCAGCTGGGAAGCTTTGCACAAATACGACACCTGTGACATCAAAATGTCCACAACTCTGAAGGGTCTCATTCCAAAACACATCTTAGATTTTAAAAGTCTGATTTTGATGACTTTCATCTGAATTTCAGCACAATTCAAATAATCTTAATCCACTATTTACAGTCACAGACATACTTTCCTTAAAACTCAGCATATGTTAAAGTTAATTAATAAATTATATTTATGCTTTGAGAAAATTGCAAATAGAATATTGTTTGGACCTAATATTTGTGTTTCATTGAATAAAGGTTTATTTTATCCTTAAATTTAAAGGTAGTCCATAAACACAACTAACTATGCTTTGGGGATAATTCAATATTATCACGTATATTCATATTTAGACTTCAGTGAGTAGTATTCAGTCCAAAGGAAAACCTTTACTAAATCCACTGCAGCATGACATCATCAGATTTTTACGGGCCTTTTTCACAAGAGACAGTTCAGCCCCCTTTCTACCAAACACTTTCAGTATGGTACCTTTGGAACCAAAAGTAACCCTTCAGACATGGTACCTAGACCCTAGCGTTTCCACCACAAACAGTACTCTTAAATGTGGGCGGGGTTGTTGTCACCCACTGCTCCGTCCAGCTCTCACTGTATTTCCTCCTTTATCAGTCTGCATCTCGTTTATCGTCCACAGAACGAGGCTGCACTCCTTTATTTTCAGAACAAAATAAAACAGGCTGCAGTGAGAGTCTCTCTCTATGGGATATTTAAAAATAGCAGGTTTGTGCATTCAGTCCTTCTCAGGCAAGCTCAGGGGTTTAGTGTTGCTGGAGCCCACAGGAACTACGCTCCACGACACTTTTTTTTTCTCTGAGTGAGGATTTAATATCAACTCAGCCATGAGCAGAGTGACCGTCCGCTATTGACCAATCAACAGACTGCAGAGTTCACATCTCCACTTTTTGAGACCAGATCTGTGTGCTAGGTCCCCCAACAGAGGGGGGACGAAAATGGGGACAGTACGGAACGGTTCCATTGGTACCATCCACAACTTTTTGCAGTGGAAACAGTACCGAACTAAACTGTACCGTACTGCTCAGTGGAAACGGGGCTTTTGACGTGTCAAAGAGAGAAAAGCACATACAGTACAGGCCAAAAGTTTGGACACACCTTCTCATTCAATGCGTTTTCTTTATTTTCATGACTATTTACATTGTAGATTCTCACTGAAGGCATCAAAACTATGAATGAACACATGTGGAGTTATGTACTTAACAAAAAAAGGTGAAATAACTGAAAACATGTTTTATATTCTAGTTTCTTCAAAATAGCCACCCTTTGCTCTGATTACTGCTTTGCACACTCTTGGCATTCTCTCCATGAGCTTCAAGAGGTAGTCACCTGAAATGGTTTTCCAACAGTCTTGAAGGAGTTCCCAGAGGTGTTTAGCACTTGTTGGCCCCTTTGCCTTCACTCTGTGGTCCAGCTCACCCCAAACCATCTGGATTGGGTTCAGGTCCGGTGACTGTGGAGGCCAGGTCATCTGCCGCAGCACTCCATCACTCTCCTTCTTGGTCAAATAGCCCTTACACAGCCTGGAGGTGTGTTTGGGGTCATTGTCCTGTTGAAAAATAAATGATCGTCCAACTAAACGCAAACCGGATGGGATGGCATGTCGCTGCAGGATGCTGTGGTAGCCATGCTGGTTCAGTGTGCCTTCAATTTTGAATAAATCCCCAACAGTGTCACCAGCAAAACACCCCCACACCATCACACCTCCTCCTCCATGCTTCACAGTGGGAACCAGGCATGTGGAATCCATCCGTTCACCTTTTCTGCGTCTCACAAAGACACGGCGGTTGGAACCAAAGATCTCAAATTTGGACTCATCAGACCAAAGCACAGATTTCCACTGGTCTAATGTCCATTCCTTGTGTTTCTTGGCCCAAACAAATCTCTTCTGCTTGTTGCCTCTCCTTAGCAGTGGTTTCCTAGCAGCTATTTGACCATGAAGGCCTGATTGGCGCAGTCTCCTCTTAACAGTTGTTCTAGAGATGGGTCTGCTGCTAGAACTCTGTGTGGCATTCATCTGGTCTCTGATCTGAGCTGCTGTTAACTTGCCATTTCTGAGGCTGGTGACTCGGATGAACTTATCCTCAGAAGCAGAGGTGACTCTTGGTCTTCCTCTCCTGGGTCGGTCCTCATGTGTGCCAGTTTCGTTGTAGCGCTTGATGGTTTTTGCGACTCCACTTGGGGACACATTTAAAGTTTTTGCAATTTTCCGGACTGACTGACCTTCATTTCTTAAAGTAATGATGGCCACTCGTTTTTCTTTAGTTAGCTGATTGGTTCTTGCCATAATATGAATTTTAACAGTTGTCCAATAGGGCTGTCGGCTGTGTATTAACCTGACTTCTGCACAACACAACTGATGGTCCCAACCCCATTGATAAAGCAAGAAATTCCACTAATTAACCCTGATAAGGCACACCTGTGAAGTGGAAACCATTTCAGGTGACTACCTCTTGAAGCTCATGGAGAGAATGCCAAGAGTGTGCAAAGCAGTAATCAGAGCAAAGGGTGGCTATTTTGAAGAAACTAGAATATAAAACATGTTTTCAGTTATTTCACCTTTTTTTGTTAAGTACATAACTCCACATGTGTTCATTCATAGTTTTGATGCCTTCAGTGAGAATCTACAATGTAAATAGTCATGAAAATAAAGAAAACGCATTGAATGAGAAGGTGTGTCCAAACTTTTGGCCTGTACTGTATGTATAAACAGAAATGAATGATGGCTGAATTCCATTTAGCTGCTTCAGTTTTAGGGTCCGTGGTATTGTTAATGCTGGCTCGCTGTCATGGCTTAGTCGGACATTTAAATAGAACAGAGCCTTTGTTAAACTTATCATTAACATCTGTGCTTTCTTATGACAAGTCAAAATGTCTGCTGTGAAGAAGGTTTATTAGATTAATTTGTTCTAAGATAAACTAAGAACAAACAAGATTTAAAAAATGTTATTTTGAATTCATTAGTCAACGTCCCTGCAGATCAAGATCATTCTGTATAATTAAAAGGAAAGTTATTATAGTCCCTAAAATCTTGAATATTTTTCATAATGACATTTTGAGTGTGTTGTTTTATCGTAATACCAGGAAATATACTGTCCCTAGTTAATCAACCTTTTAAAGCTGCCCCCAGTAAGATAATAGGTTTGCAGGGTGGCATGATTTATCTCCTTGTACATTTTAAACTTACATATCCAGAAATCATTTGCTTAGACAAATCTACAGGGTCTGATTTTAAAGACATGTTGTGCTTTTCTCTGATGCTGTCAGGACGAGGGTATCTTTACATAAAAACTGCCTCCAGCAGCTCTGCATATCATTTTGGAGTGAAACTCTTCGACCCTCGATGTGAGAGGAAACAGGTAAAACAGATGATAATGTAAAGTTAGCACCATCAGTGCAGCAAAAGGCATTCAACTAGTGGAGGCTCGTTCTGGTTCCACTCATGGCTGGAAGTAGATGACTTTGTGGTGTCATTTAGCTCTGTGATAAAATCCATTAGCTTCTTCTTCCCCTGATGTTTAGAGATGGAGGGGTCTGAGGATCACGAAAAGGCGATGACAGACTGTTATTTCTTCAGACACTGGTACATCAGTGCTCGTGGATTCAGCATGTAGCGCTCAGAGTTGAGTAACTTGGTGAGATACTGCGGCACCGGAGGCCGAGGAGCCATGTAAGATACGCCGGGACTGACAGCCATCACCTCCGCGATCTTCTGCTTCATCTCCTTTATCTCCCGATCCTGCTTCATCACTTTATCTGTCAGACAAACAAAGGTAATACATGAGTGAGTGAATACTGCAAGAGGCAGCAATTCATTATATTCAAGTCATTTTTTAAACTATAATGTGTGAAAACCTGGATTTATTGGAGTTATTCCCTTCCCTCATGTTTTCCCAGCTGTAAAAACTACCCTGATGTTAAGTTCATACAGTAACTGTCTCTTAGTTCAACTCTTCTTAATGACCAAACATCTTTACCAATGCTGCAATATATTATGAAATCATAAACAAGTCATAGTATAGTATACCATGAAAAAGTCCGCAAAAATGTCAGTCATACTACAGTATATTCCAAAAATGTCACAGTATAGTATGCCATAAAAATGTAATTTAAAAAAACATAGCATAGTATGTCACAATTAGAGATTTCCATGAGAATGAAATAGATGGAACTTGAAAATATAGCATCTCCAGTCAAGGAATTTGCCAGTAGAGGCCTTAAAAACGTAATGAAAAAAGTCACAGTATACTATGTAAAGAAAAAAATATATCAAAGTATAGCACATCATAAGAAATGCCATTAAAATACAGTTTAGTATATAATAAAACATTTTTCAAAATTAAAATAATATATTATGCCATAAAAAATGTAAAAAAAAATCCCCCAAAAACATAAAAAGTATAATAGCATGTAAAAAACTGTAACAAATAATGCTATCAAAAAAGTCATACTATAGTATGTCAAAAATTGGTAGTATAATATGTAATAAAAATATAATAAAAAAGTAATAGTACAGTATGTCATAAAAAATGTCAAATATTAAATTTTGTTTTTAATTTTTTAGTTAGTTAAAGTTAAAAAAAAAAGGTCATGATATAGTTTTTCATTAAAAATATTTTATGGTTTAGTATGTCATAAAACTTTAATTAAATATGTCATAGTATAATTCATCATAAAAAAAGTTAACATAAAAGTCATAGTACACTATGTCAGATAATATTTAATTTAAAAAAAAACCATACCATAGTAATTCGTTTAAAATGATATGGTATAATATGTCACAAAAATGTAATCAAAAATGTTAAAGTATGTCATCAAAAAATTAATATAAAATTTCATAGTATAGTATGTCATATAAAAATAAATAAAAAAGTCTAAGTTTAATATGTCATAAAAAATAATCAAAAATGTTGTACAGTATGTCATAAAAATGTCCTAAAAAACAAATGGTATATTATGTCATAAAAATGTAATTTAAAAAGGTCATATTATAGTATGTCACAAAAAAAATGTAATAAAAAATGTCCTAGCATAGTATACCATAAAGAATGTCATAAAAAAATCCAAGTATATGACAAAAGTTATTGCAAGCCCACAGTTAAATGGAGACAAAATATAAAGTGCTTCTTGGCCACATGGTGGTGCTATTGCATTCAGAGTTCAACCAAAAACTCATCACTTGTTCCCTGGTCCATGATTGAATTAAAATAACGGTCTAATTTGTTTACAGGATATCTCAGCCATTAGCATCAGACTCATGAACAAACAAAACAGGAGTAAAAACACACAGTGACCTTTTTAGCTGAGGCAGCAGGTCACACACCACAGACACTTCAGACACACAGGAACATAAAATGAGTTTGCACAGGGTGATGACACAGGTGTAAAGAGAAAGAGAGGGAACCTTGAGCGATTTCCAGCTGTCGGCGGGCGTCTCCCAGAGCCGAGAACAGGTCCAGTTTGATGCGAGTCTCTGCGCTCAGGTTGTACTCCAGATGTTGAGCCTTCTCCTGCATGGCTGACAGAGTGGACAGCAGCATGTCCGTCTCTTTCTCCACACAGCGGTACTTCCCCAAAGCCTGAGTCCAGAAACACATCAACAGTAAGAACAAGAGTAAAACATCGATCAGCTGTGTGTGACGAACACCTGAGGGAGTCGGTGCTTTGGTTTCCTGAGTTGTTGATCTTTTAATTTGTGTTTTGGTTCATTCACTTGTTCATTCACTTGTTCATTGACTTAGGAAACCAATGCACCACAAAGAAGAAGAACAGTTTCCATGATGAAGTGGCCAGCCATTCAAAAAACATGAGAGCTGTACATTATATTAGATATTATAATCTGAGGGATGATTCTTTCTGTGTTAACAGTGACTTTGAACATTTTGAGGGAGGTGGCCTGGACTCGGAAACCTTCATTAAAGCAGTGCAATGTTTTTATGAAAGACCTGGCTTTTGTTGTGGCATGCTTCATGGAGAGTATGTCACTAAAATGAAATCAAATACCACACAGTACAACAATGTACACACCTGATGTCAAGACAAAAACAACCATACAATATTACTGCATACTGATATGATGACAAAGTGCAACATGTTGACTGCAGGCCAAAATAAAACAGATTAAAAACACTAAATGGTCCCAATGAACGATTCAGTTTTCTAACAGATCTTACAAACACAAAGAATTGCAGACAGAGAAATCAAACAGCAAAACGACTACATGACCAAACTGAGGACAACCAAGTACTGAACCACTGGAGACTCACAGACACTTAAACTCACAAGGTCATTCCCAAGAAGTGTAAAAAGATACCTCAACATCACTCTCTAGCTCTACCACACGACTCTGTTTGACTTGACACTCCAGCTGTAGTTGTTTGTACTCTGTCTCTAGATCTTTAACTCTTTTCCTTAACATTTGGGTTTCACAGTGTTCCTGCCTGGTGTAGGAGATGGAGAAAATAACAGAGGGCGTTCATTGGAGATGAAGACCAGTTTACACAGAAAGAAACATGACAGTTCATTTGTTGTTTTTAAAGACGGTTATATAACATGCAAGAAAATACAATCTGTGAAAGTGTCATGTGAGCATTAAAGGACGAGTTCAACATTTTGGGGAATAGGCTTTTTCACTTTCTTGCCATGACTTAGATGAGAAGATTAACCACTGTCACATCTGTATTAGAGACTGAAAAAATGGATGTAGCCACCGTGATGTCACCTATTGGTTTGTGGACTACCGTTTTGAAGCCTGCAGTTAGCATTTTGGTCATCGCCATCTTGTTTTTTTGGAGCCAGAGGTGACCATATTTTGACAAGTGGGTCGAGCTGTGGAGGAGCAAGGATGGAAGGGGTCTGACTAAGAACCTGAGGACACTGCTGTGGTAGCGGCCTGTCAGTCACAAGGTAGCCACACTCTAAAGCAGTGGTTATCAAATGGTGGGTCGCAGTCCAAAAGTGGCGGGTGAATGTGACAGCAACAGTGAATTTCTGGCACAGAGCTTTTATGTTGAAGTGCCGTTTCGTGCTGTTGGTTGAGTGACTGACTGCTACTTGACAGAGGCAGCGAACTGGCTTGACCAATGGGGAACCGCTGCCCTAAAGCAGACCCTGCTTTATTGTCTATATTCCTCTAGGACCACACTAATGCTGGGTTAAAATGAAAAAAGTTCTCTGTGCACACGGGCATTTTAGCACCATTTCAGAATTAATCTGTCCATATTAATACACCTGAAAACGCATGCACGATTTGGAGTAAACAGGAAGCAGATTGTCAACCCTGCAGTTGGTTGCTTTGTTAAAGAAAATACTACAGAGATGATGAGAAGTAAGAGGACTGACGACATGGTGGTACTGTCACTGAAAAAAACACGAGTATAAGGCAGTCAAGGTGGCAAAAAACAGATTGGTGGTTGATACAAAGCAGATACGGCGAGATATTAGCGCAGAACAGGGAGCATTATTCATGACCAGGGGAAGCCATGGCAATGGGAAAGGACTAACATGACCCACACAAGAAGGATTAAATCACAAAAGGTATTTAGGCTTAGCTGTAATGTTCTGGCTTGACACATCGTGACTGTTAAGAGCCAATCGAGAAGTAAATGCCGACGTCTGTGTCATAGTTTCCACAAGTCTTAGTTTTTGCCCGTCCGCACTAAAACACAACCACAGAGTTTTCAAACTACAGCGGGATCAGCAGCGTTGTTTAAACGTCTCTGTTTAAGGCGGACCAGAACGCTGGAATAGTGTGAACACTAGGCATTAATTTAACAATAGTTATTGATTTTCAATGAAAAAAGTGTGGATGTAGCCTAGATGGGACGATCATTTACTAAATAAACACCACGCTGTATGTGAGAAGACTTGAAACTGGTGTTCAAGGCCATAAATGCTTTAGGAAAATGTTTAATGAGGTAATAAATCAATTGAGAATTCAGGTGATTTTCTCAGACTTCTATACAATTGGACTCCTATTTGCAAACGGTGGAGTCGCCCGCTGCTGGCCATTAGAAAGAATGCAGGTGTAAGGCATTGACTTCACTTGTCAGACCCAGAGGTTGCCGCTTGATGGTCTTTCAATATAAGGTTACAGTTAGCTTAGCTTAGCTTAGCTTAGCTTAGCATAGCACAAAGACTGGAACCAGGCAGAAAGAGCTAGCCTGGCTCTGTCCAAAGGCAACAGTATCACCTACTAGCACCTCTAAAGCTCACTGATTAACTTATATTGTTTGTTTTAAGGCATTCAAAAACCAAAGCGTAAAAACAAAAACCTACAGTGAAACCACGCCTGTATGGATTAAAAAAATCATACATTAATGTTTTAATTAGTAAGTGTTAAAGATGTTTGTAGGCAGATTTTCTTAACCTTGGACGGAGCCAGGCTAGCTGTTTCCCCGTTTCCAGTCTTAATGCTAAGCTAAGCTAATAAGCTGCTAGTTTCAGCGTCAACACAGTGAACATACAGACATGAGTGTGGTATCGATGTTGTCGTCAAACTCACGGCAAGACGGTAAAAAAGCATAATTCAAACTACTTGATCAAATGTTTGACCATATGCTCACAGCAGCGTTTAATTATACTCAGTAGCATACAAACAAATGCAGATGAAACATTACTTTCCAGGCACAAAGCCAACTCAGTATGAGGGAATTTAAAAAAATTTTTTTTTTAATTTTTGCTAGGTGTGATTTACCTGTTTGTTAGACTCCGTGCTGTGCTGGCTGCTTCCTCCAGTTTCTGAGCCTGAAGCTCAGCCAACTGTTTCTCAACAGAGAGTCTGGCCTCCGTCTCTGCTCTGGTCTTCTTCTCCAGCATCGCACTGCTCTGCTTGTCCCTCTGCTTGGTTTTAGTCAGACACAGAATCCTAAAGGAAGAGCATTAAACTCACTTTACATAATGTCAAAAATAAAACCATAAATAAGTGGGGTTATTGCCACATCTAAATAGACTTGTAAGAGATTAACTTCAGAGCGCCTCAAAAACAGACAGAGGATGTTAAACGTGTTTCTCGTCAGCCTTGTAGTCGCTGGAGAGCACCTTGCCTTAAAAACTAGAGCATGTCTTATCAGAACTGGCGGCGCTGATCAAAGCTGTGCATAACATGCTCATCGCAGACAAGATTTAAAGCCTCTGGCTGCTGGATGTGGGTTTGACGTGTTACATGTGTTGATAGTTCATCTGCAATTGGACGGACTACGTAAGGACTCACATCTTTAGAGCATAGGTTTTTCAGTATGCTTAGAGTACTAATCTGTTTTCAGATAAAACTGTGGAGTCACATTTTTACTGTTACATAACAAGGAGAAATGGACTAATTACACAGGAAATTTAATCACATTGAGTATGTTTACATGCACATTAATATTCCCCTGTTGTTCTCAATATGACAATAGTCTGAATGTGATACAGGTCATGTAAACCAGTGGTTCCCAAGAGTTTGCAATGCTGGGGTAGAGAAGCCCAAAAGAAAAACCCATTTATAACACATATAGTGTTAGTTGGAGGAAGAAACACACCTACTTTTTAACATTATAAAAGACTTGGATATGAACGGGTTTTTGGATATGCACAAGTATCTTTTCTAGAAGGACGTTGAAGGAATGAAACAGGGAGGCTGTGTTTGCACACTAACATGTTCGCTACCGATAGGAAACCTCGCAAAAATCCTATCACAATGCATAGAAACAAAACAGCACAAGCAGCTCCAGCTGTTTTACTTCTCCATATTTTGATGTGAAAATTGCCATGCTGGGGAGCATTAATCGGAGTATGCATCGCTGCAGGTAAACAGGAATATTAGTGGAATATTTATTTCCATTAGCCATGTAATCAGCTCAGTAGGAAAACTGTCTTTTTCATAATAAGATCAAAAACTGTAACATGTAGTGCATGTAAACATAGTAAAAAATGTATTCATTCATTGTTCCGTAACCGCTTATCCTGTTTGGGGTTGTGGGGCGCTGGAGCCTATCCCAGCTGACATTGGGTGAGAGGCAGGGTACACCCTGGACAGGTCACCAGACTATCACAGGGCTGACACATAGAGTCAGACAACCATTCACACTCACATTCACACCTACGGACAATTTAGAGTCACCAATTAACCTGCATGTCTTTGGACTGTGGAAGGAAGCTGGAGTACCTGGAGAAAACCCACGCTGACACAGGGAGAACATGCAAACTCTGCACAGAAGGGCCTAAATGCAGCACTAAGCGTTACGGATCGTCCTTTGTCCCATCTGCTATCACTCATCTTAACCAGCAGTGACCATTAATGTCCATACTGACGGTGTGTGATACTGGATACTGTGTTATGTATTGCTCTGTTTTGATGTACTCATGACTACTGTCTGTATCTCAAATTGCCCCTCTGGGACATTAAAGTTTACCTTTCCTTACCTACCTTGAAATATGACTTCATACGATGGTAATTCCATTTTAAAAAGAGATCAATCTATCCTTGTGAGGATTAAAACATCAGCCCACAAACGGTTTGCTTTCACACAGATAAGCACAGTGCTAGCAGCATTTCTGCATGCATTCATCCCTGTCTTACTTTTTATTTATAGCCTGATGTAATGTGTAAACCAGCCCACAGAAGGAGCCAAAGAGCTCTCAGCAGTGGATCTGAGGGGTGACTCACTTGCTCTGAAGCAGCATGTTGGACTGTCTGAGCAGGGAAACCTCTGGTCTCAGGCTCCTCTCGCTGTTAGTCAGGTTGCAGATGTGACTTCGCAGCTCCTGCTCGCTCTGCCTGCTCACCTGCAGCTCACCCTTCAGCCTCCTCAGCTCCTGCTCCAGCCTGAACGATAACAAAGGCAGGTTTTTAAGCACTGACTTCACCTTCACATGCCCGGTTACAAACTCAAGTTAAAAGCGGCGTACTTGGTCATCTGTTCAGTGTGGTGGTTCTGAGCTGCTGTGGCGCTCTTCTCCATTACGTCCCGGTTGGGGCTGACTGTCTTTGAGCTGGATCTCTGCTTCTTCTCAGTCCTCCCCGCAGGTGGCGAAGGAGTGTTCGTGCTGCCTCTGCGGGCTTTTGGCGAGGAGCTTTTAGCCGCCCGTGTGGCTTTGCTCCCTTGCTCATCTTGAGGTAGATTTTCCGGGGGTGTGGAGGATTCTGGTCCTCCTGCCCCAGAGTGGAGCAGATCTCTGGACTCACCAGTTTTGGATGATAACGGCCGCCGGTTTGATTCAACCGACCTCACTTCCTGTGCTCCTTTCTCTGTCGGTCTTTCCTCGCTGCGGATCTGGAGGCAGTCCACGGTGTGCACCTCATCGTGGGCCATGACAGCACCGTTCTGACATTGATACTGAGTCGACTCAGGCTTTATCTTCCATTTAGAGCCTGTGAGTATAAGCAGAAACAAAAAAATGTCAATATCATCACTCTCCTATGATTTTAGTTCTGCTGTCTTTGGTGTAAACAACAGTGGCGACAGTTCAGTTTGTTGTATTTAAGTAATATAAAGATTTGCTGCATTCAAAACGTTTCCCCTAAGCTGGATGGACTCATATGTACTACTTCCCTATCTGACCGTTTTTGGTATTTCTACCAGCAAACGATGCAGTTCGCGTATTGTTGTACTGCCACATACCAACAACAAACCGATCTCGGAAACCATCAGTCATCAGTCTGACGATTATATGCTCCTGTAGCCAATATTTCGGAAGATGCTGGCAAAAACCCTCTCTTCTGTGCACAGGTCAATTCGACTAATCTCTATAAACAGATATCTGCAAATGAATGCAGATAAATTTAATGAAGCTAATATAAAGCTAAATCATTCTTTAGACGATAGATGATGGGTTCCGAAACTGCATTTCGGCTAATGTCTTTCGCCCCTTCACACTTATTATTTACCTGCCATTTAAACATGATTGGTCAATATGTTTCAGACTACAAACAAAACCAAAATCTCATCCTGTTGCCTCTAGATTCTACATACATATGCAGATATCTGTTTATACAGATTAACAGCAACCTCACTGGAATTAACTTTATCCCACATAAACGGTAGAGGTCAGTTCTCTTTGTTCGACGAGCTATTCTTAACATATTCAAGAGATTCATCTTTCAAAAAGCTGGAGGCATGAAGAGCTGATATAAAGGAGGACATTCATGAAGCAGACTGGGAGATGGCTTGTTTTAAGGCTCAAACCCAATCTATTTACACAAAATTTAAGCTATTACAATATAAAAGGCTACCGCAAAAACCCATTTTACACCCAGCAGGTTAAGTCAGTTGTTCCCTAATATCCCAGATATCTATGTGAAGTAGCCTTGTAATTGGAAAGGAAGTTCCTTTATGTGCCAAACTCTGTATATTGAGAATACACCCTGGGGACCCTGTTTTAACTTAGCAGCAGCCACTGCTTATTGAGTTTGGACTTTTACAAGCCAGAAGGATAACTGGACTTTTATGGAAGAATATGGACACACCTTCCATTGGAATGAGGACAAGGGAACTGACAGCCTGTCTAGCTTTGGAGAGACGGACATATATGCTAATAAAGAAGGACAAGAACGTTGTTAGGTTGTGGAGCCCTTATATGGACTTCTTGGAGACTCATGATTTTGAATAATTTGAAGCTTTTTGCAAATTATTTTTTCTTTAATTCGTTTGTGTACTTTTATTATTATTTTTTTAGTAGTTACTTATTTATTTTAATTATTGATTTATTTTATTTTATTTCATTTTATTTTGTTTTATTTATTCATTCTATTTAATTTTTTTTCTTCCTGTCAGGGTTGGGGATATTATATTCATTTTCTTTGTTGAAATGTTATTGTTCGCATTTAATGTTTTAAAACTCAATAAAAAAAAATTATTCATTTATTTATTATTTATTAAATTCATTTATTTATAAATGTATTTAATTGCCAACTACATATTCTGATAACTGATTAATCATTAGCTATTTTTCTATCAAAAATGTCAAACATTCAGAGGTTCCAGCTTTTTAAATGTGAGAATTTGCTGCCCTAGTGCAGACACTTCCATGTTGGAAAAGAAACTGGTTGTCTGTGTGAAATATTTGCTGCTACTTTAGTGATGTCATCATTTTCACTTGGATGAAAAAGGGAGTAAGAATTCCTTAATTTCCGGAAATCGACTTTCTCTTTAAATGTTACATAAATCTCTGCAGGGATCTGCTCAGCATTAATTGCCTGGAGAGTCTGTGAATGACATATAGTTGTATTAATGGAAGTGTGAAAAAAAATCTAGAGGATTTCACTTGAATATTAATAACAAACCGACATTTTCACTTTTATAATTGTTGTTCTTAACACCCAGTTTCTCTGGTGGGTCTCTCCAACTGTTCACTTGGAATAAACACAGTGGGACTGAGTAGCTACTTTAAGCGATCACACAAACAAAAGAATGCCAAACCTCTGATCTCATAAATTAGGAACATCCTGCGGAGTGTAAGAATAGTAGACACGCGTGTGTATTAATAGATGGTGCAGAAGACTCACTGCCGCTGCCATCTGTGCCCGTCTTGGGGTAAACCTGCAGGCCTGGAGGGAGCGAGTGCTGCAGGAGGTGCATGTGGAAGTCATTCTCGCTCTGCACGGCTTTCTGTATACGCAGCTTGAAAATGTTAGTGAAGTAGCAGGTGGCATCGAACCCCAGATACACCACAGGATATCCAATGCTGAATGTGAATACAAAGGGGGGAAAAGACACAGTTAGAATATCTGTGCCACATTAAAAAGATACTAACACATCTTGGCTAGCAGATTATATATTAATGGTTCATCGCCAATTTCTACATCACACATGATTTGTGTGATTAGCTAGTGGCATAAAAGTGAATTTATTCCTTTAATGGTGCACAATAATCTAGGCCGATTCATTACGTCACACCGGGGATTAATAAAAGTTTCATATTTTTTATTACAGCCCAATTAATTTTATGTGAGATATCTCAATCCTGAAATTCTTCTAAGGGCAGACAGGATGATATTAACATACCAGTGTGCAGCAAAAAGATGAGACAGGTTGGCATGAGAGGTTTTAAGGTCCTTGAGTCGAAGTGAAGCCTCTGTGTACACAAGCAGGATCCACAGGGACACCGTTGATATGCAGATGCCTTTCTCTGCAGGAAAATATTTTTAAAATTAGATGTGAAATGAAGGAAAGAATATCCATCAAAATAGAATCACATTATTTAATTAAAATATGAATAATCCACATACTCACCTGTGTGCCATATGTAATTGAACAACACATAGGTGCTGGCCACAAAGAACAGCCAGTGCAAAGGAACAAAAATTAAACAAAAGATGTCAAGAGTGAAGGCAGCACAAACAAAAACAACACAAATAACCTGCAAAAAACAACACAAAAACCCTCATTAATTTCAGTTTAACGCACTAGATTCATTCTGTGGGATTATAATCATCATAATCATCTGTCTGGGCACCCAATATGAAATCACACAGCGGGGGTTCTCACCAGCCCGTGGCAGTGGAAAGTGGTGTACACACTCCCGAAGAAGAGCCAGCATGGCCACAAGTACTCCAGTCTGAATTCGAGGATGAAATCTGCCAGCAGCACCAGCGTCCACATCATCATAAACTTCAGGAAGGTGTACGCACTGCAAACACACACATCCTTGTTATTATCATACACCAAACATCAGAGGGTGTGTGCAATCAGTTTGGACACAACAATGAAATTTGTATCCAAGGCTCTGATTCTAGCAAACAAAAACATGTTTCCGGACACAGCAAAGCCTCTTTGAGCCAAAGCATCAAACACACAGGAGCCAATTCAAGGCTGGGAATCGGATACACGTTGCTAGAACCTATAATTGAGCAGCTGCGTCTTAAAATTGCGGTCCGTCCTTTTCAGGCAGAGGCACTGCGGAACAATGACTGTTCCCTCATTCGTTTTACGAGGCGTCCACGAGCCAAACAGGAGCTGTGGTTTCCTCCTTTGTTCTGCGCGTCCATAGACTGCTATCACATCACCCCTTCTTTGTTTGGTAACCATGGCAATATTTCATCTGGAGGAGAGAGGGGGAGCACCAGAGCATCCTATCGCACATGCAAGTTTTAGAGCCTGCTTTTTTATTGTTACGGATATAAAGTGTAAGTGGATTTATCTTGTGGACATTTTTAAATAGATAATAAACAATAAAAAATTATAAAAAGTGTTATTTTATCAAAAAAGTGAGAAAGAGCAGCAGCTTAAATACATCATATTAGCTCAAATTAGCCTTATGATGCTACTTTAAGAGTGTTTTTTTATTCTATTTCACTTTTATTCTACACATAACATTATTCCACAACAACAAAAGAGCAATATTTAGTCTTTACGAGAAAAAGGGAGGACTATTGTATCTGAAATTCTTCACATACATGCAAATATATGTTGTATTATTATGAATAAAGTGTATTTTAATTTATCTTACAGGTATTTTTAATTATAGCTGCCAAAAGTACAAGTTGTGCCACAATAAAAGCAAGAATTGTAGGCTGTATTTGATTGCAAATTCATGAAAACAAAAGAAGACAGCTTGTATTGTCCAAAATACAATACATTCGACAGATTTGCATTTGCTGCCTTGCTCATGTGAAACAATGCACAATTAAAACAAGTGGTTTCCTTCTCCTGAGGTGGTCTTTTCTTGTCTGGACTCTGTCTAGACGCTTCAAATTATGATTTTTAATGTGCAAAATGAGCTGCTCTGTTTTTAGCCTAATAGGAAAATACAGTAAATATTATCAGAGACAATTATAATTTGATAAATGTGAATAATTTGTGCATGATTGAGGAGATAGGAGGACACAGGAGACAGTGTGGAAGCAGATGTAAGAGCCTGAGGAGAAGCAGGCCGACGTCAACTTGCACAGCTGCTGATTTCCGTCTTTCTGTAAACAATTTGGGGCTGAAGTAAGTGGCACAACATCTCCACGCCTCTGTGTGCGCAGTTAAACCCGCAGTGAGGCGTTCAAACTCCAGCAGCCTGGGTGGATGTGAGATGTGAGACGGTGAGATGGAATGATGTGTGTGATGTGAGGCAGACAGGTGACAGCGGGATGACGACGGCTGAAATCTACACAAAGACGAGGCACCACAACAAAAGCAGCCTCCGCCAGCCAGCCAGGCGACGCGGCGCTGTTAGCTACCTCTCAGACAGCTTCTCCGTTATTTTCAGCTTTTTCATTTTCCGTAGCCTGCTCGCGTCCACATAGCGTTTCTTCATCTTATGGCTTCTGCTCCCTCCGTGCTGGTTGTTCTCACACCGCGGCGGCAGCAGCGGCGGCGGCGGCGGGGACAGAAAGAGGAGCACGGATTTGATGAAGAAAGTCCCTCCTTGTGGCAGAAGAGGAGGATGTGCAGCTCAACCTGTGATGATGATGTCTGCGAGCACATACAGGCGGCGGACGGTCGTTCTGCGCATGCTCAGAGGAGGTTGTACCTACAAGTGTTCATCGCAGGAGGGGAGCAGCACAACACACTGTACACACTGTACCCAATATATGCTGCATTCATTATTTATATAACAACAATTATAATAGTGCCAGCAGCACTAAACGTAATATATATTTCAAAATACTATATCATATTATTATCACTGCTATTATATATTATTTCCTTCCACTACATACTACATTAAAGTGGTGTAGTTGTAGTTGATGAGGTGGGTATGCCACTGGGTAGATGGGTAGGTTACTAAGGAGGAAGTGGGTACACTCCCCTACATCCCCCTGAGACCCTGTGTCCTCATATGAGGACATTACATTTTTGGGTTTACTGCACCTTACACTTCATTCTGCATAACTTCGACTTGCTGTCCTCCTTTGTGGACACATTTTGTGCCATCTAGTGGTTGTAAAAGCACAATACACTAACAGATTATATTATTAATGGTTCGTCTATTCATACTGCAGTGCAAAGACAAAAGGCCTTAACTTCAATTTTGGCGAAAATGAGTTATTGTCATTTTTGGAACAATAAACATCAGTTTTATCATGTGGACAAATATCTTGAGTCAATTTTGTTGTTTTTTTGGAAAAAATATGATGTTGTTTTTGCCGTAACTTCCATAAGCCGAGGGAAAGCCAAGGCAGAAGCCCGTAACATCAGTTGTGGTTCTTTGCTTTTGTTCCGCGGCACTCTAGAATGCGCGAATTAAGTTACGGTACTCTGCCTTTGTTTTGCCAAGCACCAAAGTGAAGTTACTGTTTACCGCGCTGGAGTTACGGTGATATGCCTATGTATTATATGTGATTGAAGCACTTCTGACACGCACCTTTAATACTTCAATAAAGTGTACTTAACAAGTGTATTTAACAAAGGGCATTGCTACATATTACTGGCATAGCCAAATCAGCTCTAACTTTCAAATGTAAGAAATAGGAGGGAGGTAAAGTGTTATTTTATTTCAAATTTGTACAATGATGAGGTTTTGAAATGATCCAGTAATGTACTGTTGCAACCTTCAAATGCTCATTATTTTTTATTTTTAATATTCTGTTTATGTAATATTAAGCCTAACTAGACAAAAATCACTAAATTTTAGTTTAAGGTTATCATTGTTATCACAGGAAAATATTATACAAAGTGATAAAAATCCAAATGGGCAATAAAATAAAAGTTAAGGTCTTTTGCCTTTGTATGATCCATTATTGTTCTGCAGACAATGCAAAGGCAGAATACAGTAACTTCCGAATAAGGGTCAAAGGTCAAGTTTAAGCTTAAATTTTTTTGGTGGATAAATAACTTCATTTATAAAAAACAAAATGCCAAATGTCCAGTGTTCTACCTACAACTCATTTGGCGGGACAACAAGACAACTTTAAAGTCATTTTTCTCAGTTTCACACTCTGGTGAGTTAAGGTCTTTTGCCTTTGTAGGGCAGCGATAGTTCTGTGCACTTTTGTAAATCACACATAATTGGGCATTAGTAAAATAAAAGTGAATTTATTCCTTTAATGGTGCACAATAATCTAGGCCGATTCATTAAATTACACAGGGGATTAATAAAAGTTAAATATTTTTTTTTTATTACAGCTCAATTAAATCTATGTGAGGTATCTCAATTCTGAAATTCTTCTAAGGGCAGACAGGATGATTTGGGTGATATTAACATACCAGTGTGCAGCAAAGGAAGAAGTGGGTATACTCTCCTATATCCTCCTGAGACCCTGTGTCCTCATATGAGGACATGGCATTTGGGGTTTACGCCACCTTAAAGTCCATTCTCATTGAGGGTGAATATCCGCACGGATTATTCTTGCGGAAAAATATAAAAGTTGATTTCATGGGTTCTTATGGAAGTTTGCACACCGGGGCAGAACTTTCGTGCGGTTGTCGTTGATTCATTTTTTTATACTGATCAGATCCTACTAATCCTAAATAGCTAGGAGAAATTAAAAATGTATACCAAACAAAAGCTCAGGTCTCAGGAGGATATACTCCAATGCCTTTTTGTTTTTGCTGATAGGTAGGTGTGCTGTAAATGCCGAGAAAAGAGGTGGGTATACCCTATATACCTGCACATACCCTCCACTCCACCACTGCTGTATCCTCTTGAGACCCAAACTTTTGTCTGGTATGCAATTTTAATTTTTCCTAGCTATGTGGGATCAGTAGGACCTGATAAGTATAAAAAAACTAAACACTGTCAATGATAATAAAGTCCCAATCTCCTCAAGCGTGACAAAAATAAAGTCCCCATGTTCTCACAGGAGACGACAATAAAGTCCCAATGTCCTCACACGAGCTGATGATATGATTAATTCCCAGTGACTGTGGTTAAATTCCCCCCAAAAATAAATTCCTAGTGTCTTCAAACAAGTACTTCTTAATTAACAGTGTCTTAGCTTGTCACTGTTGCTAAAATTGGTCAAATTTGTTGCCATATCAAACTACAAACTTTATTAATAATAAAGAAACAAGTTTCAACCATAAAATGTTATCAAGTTTTGGACCTTATTCACTTTTGTGTCAGGATCGGCTGCAGACTGACTTGTTAGAGATGGCGGCCATCTTGTTTTTACATGGATTATTGTGCTCTTACTACCACTAGATGGCATAAAAAGCGTCCACGGACGAGGACAACAGGTCTAAGTTAAGTAGAATGAAGTATAAGGTCAAGTAAACCCTAAATGTGTTGACCTCATATGAGGACACAAGGTTCGGGAGGATATACTATACTTTGTATTATTTCAAAATACTATAGCATATAGTTATTAGTTATATATTATTTCATACCTGCCCGTGACGTGACGTGCCCACGAATGTGGACAATGCAGCAGGCCATTTTGCAGATGGCCCATTTATGTTTTAATTCCTGTCACTCCCATTGAAAGCACTGCAATGGACAAGGATTGGCTGATTCACGAGGTTGAAATAAGGAATAAAGAAAACCTAAATAAGTTGGCATCTGGCTGGAGGGAGATGAACGTCAGAACTATCCCTTTAAATGTAGCTGGTGTGGCTGTTAAATGCATGGTTTAGTTGCAAACACAAGGAGCGAAATGTTACAATACACTCAGTGGTGTGGTGTTAGTTCTAACATAGCCTACAGTGAATACATTTAGAATATAATTGCAGATTATGTGTGTGTTTGTTGGTTGTATTTGCACTTGTCTTGCACTCTTATGTGTGTTTGCTTACTTGTCTGCCTACTTGTGTTTGTGCTTGTCTGCACTACATGTGCTAATTCCTCACGAGGAATAAGAACTAAACTGAGCACGCGCGGAGTGAATCTGGTGATTCGTAGCTCGTTCTTGGCTGGAGTTATATAAAAGGTTACAACTATACCGTGTTACAACCATGCCTGATTTTCCCTACTAGACTCTACAATGTTATGCCTTATTATATTATTATTGTTGCTACAGTTACATTGCACTTGATACTATGGATTACACTTCATACTATGCAGTACTTTGTCATACTACATACAGTAACTTACCATGTTTTTATGCTATACTGTCTTACCACATCATGTATCATATTATGTCAATACTAAGTTATCATTACTTAAAAATGGTGTTTATTAATCTGGTGTACACTGTACACATACTACACTTGCTAATAAAGGAATACTCCACCCATGATATCCCTTCCTTGCAACCATATCTCTAACCTCACTTAGGATGCACAAAAAATTCTTCCAGAAGTGGGAGTAGAAGATCTCGCAGATAGGGGCGTCAGCCAGCTGTCAAACAGTTGACAGTTCTGCTCCTCACTTCACCCCAGCATCCAAGACATATGGCCAGATATCTGATTATAAGACCACAAAGTTAATCATTGATCTTTACCTGAGGGTGTTCTGGTACCAATTACAATCACAAACCACCCCATTCTCCAACATGGTGTTCATTATGGCCAATCCATGACTAGCACAGAAGTCCAAAAAACAAAAGAACAGTCAGGTTCAGATCAGGCAGGATGTTCCTCCCAATCACCCCCCTCCAGGTTTCTCCATCGATGCCCATGTGAGCACTGAAGTCCCCAAGCAGAACTACAGAGTCCCTGGTTGGTACTGTTTTCAGGACACTTCCAGAGACTCCAAGAAGTACTCTGAATAGCTGTCTGGTGCATAAGCACAAACGACAGTCAGAGAACACCTCTCAGCAAATTTGGAGTCCCATCAAGGCCACCCTCTTGTTCCCCAGGGAGAACTCCAACACAGTGGCGTTTAGCCAGGGGCTCATTCGTATCCATACACCTGCCTCTAACCCTGGGCAAATCAGAAAAATCAAGAGTCTCTCTCCAGGAGTTTGGTTCCAGAACCAGTGCTACGTGAAGAGATGTAGACAACTATATTTAGTTGGTGCTGGTGTACGTTGCCAGCGGTTAGCATGCCTAGGTCCCCTCTGTTGCCTGATGCCTGGCTTACAATGCATCCGCCCCGATGCCTATCCCTTTGGGTGTTGGGACCACAGGGCAACAGCCCCATTTTTTTTGGGTTGTGCCTGACCAGGCCCCATAGCTCCCCTCACAGGTCTAGCTCCAGAGGCGGGCCCCAGTAAGAGTAAGAGTGTCCAGCTTGGGGACACTATGCATCTGTGCTCTTTGCAGATGATATGCTTTTTTGGCTTCATCAGACCATGACATCCAGCATGCACTGGGTCGGTTTGTAGCCGAATGTGAAGCGGTCAGGATAATAGTCAGTACCTCCAAGTCAGAGGCCATGCTTCTCTGCCAGAAAAAGCCGGATTGCCCCTTCTGGTTCGGGAGTGAGTTACTGCCCCAAGCAGTAGTTCAAGTATCTCAGGTTTTTGTTGAGACTTGAGAGACGTTTTTGTCAATTCATTAGTGCTGTACATAAAGGAATGATGTTGTGTTTCTCCTGGTCCCTGGTGCAAAGCAAAAAGAATGAATCATGCACATAAGATACAAGCACAGACTGTATAAAATAATGAACATAGTCATGATGCCACCCACTGGTTTGTGGAGTGCCATTTTGATGCCTCAAGTTTGGCTTTTCAACCGCTGCCATCTTTATTCTTTGAAGAGAGAAGAGACCATATTTAGATGAGAAGGTGGAGTTGGGGAGGAGCGAGGGGGTGACCCTGACATTGGGCGAGAGGCGGGGTACACCCTGGACAGGTCGCCTGACTATCACAGAGTTGACACAAAGAGACAGACAACCATTAACACTCACATTCACACCGACGGCCAATGTAGAGTCACCAATTGACCTAGCCCTCTTTGGACTGTGGGAGCTGATATAGGGAGAACATGCAAACTCCGCACAGAAGGGCTTCCCCACCCCAGGGTTTCAATGTCATATGTGAAAAAACAGAAATGATGCACCCTACGGAATACACAGGAGCATGTTAAAGATGTGAAAACATACAGGCCTGTCCAATCAAAAACATCTCAATAAGCTGCCAAGGACAAGAGAGGGAGACATGTTTTTTTAAATCTTATCAATGCTCCAAGTCTTAGTTTAACCTTTTAGTTATCAAGGTTTTATTTAGATACCGTGTTCCTTTTTGATATCGCACACCCTCGTCATAACCTTGCCACATGAAAGCTGCATACCCCCTGCCCCTTTATCACAGTTATCATTAGGAACACACACACAATATAAACACGTACTTGCAGCTTTCCATACATTATCAAGGACGTTTCACAGGTGCTATGTTATCAAGCAGATGCCGTCGAGTTTGTTTGGTCATTTGTTAGGTTTACATGGCCCTGCGTATATAAGTGACACCTGTGGCACTCGGAGGTGAACAGTCCTGGACATAAGCATGGCTGTGGATACCTTCACCATCCTGTGCGCCTTGGGCGTCTTTGCTGCTCTCCAGGTTCCGAGCACCGACGCATTTAATGTTGGTTCCCGCACGGTAAGTGAAATGAAATGTCCTCTACCATAGGGAATTATATTGGATGTATATTTCTTGATTTGTTTCTAAGAATTGTAGCTTTTTCTAAACGTAGGCCTACATTTTTATTTATTTTTGCTTCTAACGTGCAATAAGATATTTCTTCTCTTCTTTCCCTGAAAACCATACCTGAAGGGTGAGTGTTTGTAATTATTATTACAATTATAAAATGTCATATATTCATACACATTCACACTTCACAAAATGTAGTTCTTTTGGTTTTAATTGTGTTTATTTCGGCACAGGAGGATCACCTTTGGAGCAGCAACCATCTGAGGTGTTTCTGAGCTACTCTGCCCAGAATGAGATCGTGAACAAGCACAACGAGCTGAGAAGAGGTGTTCAGCCCACTGCTAGCAACATGTTGGAAATGGTAACATCCTGAGAGTGCAATAAAATTATTTCAGAGTTCAAAAAAGCATAGTGTGCTTCACTGAATATTTATTCCTAGCATGGATCCTCACTTGATCTTGCCAATTAGTGTTTGATTTGGTATTACACATGCTCCCTTGTGCAGCAGATGGGTAAGGGATAAAATGATTTTCCAGACAAGCACACAGCACTTGGAGATTTTCTGGTATATACACTATAATTGTCTACATGTGCGAGTGGCTGATCTGTCCTATGCTTCCCACAGAGCTGGAGCATCGAGGCTGCAGCCAACGCTCAGAGATGGGCCAACACCTGCGCCATGAAGCACAGTCCTGACAGCTCCAGAACGATCAGCTGTAAGTTCCTTTTAACCCCTCTTTCAAAACAACTATACATCACAAAAAAGTCAGCCACAGTCTCATTTTAGCTAAGTGCGAACTACTGTGTCACTAATCAAGTTTGAATTATGTGTTTCAAGCATTTTAATCTTGTCAGTGCGTAAAATTACCTTCATCAGTATTTTAGACCATCATGTGACATTAGATGCTTCACTGCCACCCAGGACAAATCACATTACTTAGAGTTAGCAGCTTTTTAAGGCTCTGTGTCCACCATATCTAAAGCATTTAATGGCAGAAACATTAGTGCTCGCAGTGAGTTCATGTCCAGTGCAATCAAAATGTCATGGCTGGGTTTATAGACTAGTTTCATGTGGCAGTTCACTGTGTGCTTTTTAAAGAGTAGTTAGGTTGAATCAGATGCAGGTATCATGTACGGGTCTTGTGGCGATAATCAGGCTGGTCCTTAGGGCATAATGTGAAGTATTACTTTTGAGGGACGTATTGCTTAATTCACAGCAGTAGATTTGTTAATGTGTTTGCTTTGTGTATCACTGACTTGTTTGTCTAACTTTATGGAGGTGTAATTTTATGTCATTTTTATATGACAATGTCCAAACATACAACAGTTTAAAACAAAATATAAAGAATATGTTTTCACGGGATACAGGGATGAAGTGGGGGTGTGACAGTCATTAGATGTTCACAGGATAGTGTTATTGATTATTCATTTCTCTATTTAAATTTTGTTTTCTATATTCATTTATGTTCATTATTAGTTGTTTCTTTTCTGTTGTGTTTTGTTATTGTTAGGTCCTTTTGTCTTTGTCCTTTTCTATAAATGTAGATGTATATATAGGTGTATATCTTATATAAATCATTTTATAAATCATGTTCATTGTTATTATTATTGTTATTATTATGATGATTGTTATTAACAGTAGTATTTCTAAGGAAGCAGGATAAATTTATAAATCATCTGTGCAGGGAGAAGGGGTGGGATTAGATAAATTTCAACTTCTTCCCACTCCCTTTTGAACAAACCTTTCATTGTCTGTTGTTGCTTTGCTTTCTTTTTTTAAGTTCAAAATAAACCTTCAAATCAAATCAAAAATCAAATCAATATATGATTTTAGCTTTGCATTAAAAAAAGTTTTATGTACCAAGTCATACCAGAGGTGGAGGAAATGAGCAGCCTAGCCAGTGTCTAGTATTCGATAAGGAGAGAGTCACAGTGTGATCTCTCAACCAAAATCATGTAATCATTTAACCACTTCAAAACTGACAAAGACCTACATGAATGCTGAGTGGAAGGAGTGACAGATTGAAGAGGAATATACAATAGGTTTTATTACTTGATACTGCACATGAAGTGGTCACAGATCCTGAGAGTTAGGGTTGCCAATTCTGACATGTAACATATGACATATATGCCCCTATATTAAAGGGAAATTTAGGTTTATTTCAACCTGTCTCCTATCGTCCTAAATTTGTTTCAAGTGACTAGTGACATAAAAATAATAGTTAGCATGTTAGCCGTTAGCCTAGATACAGCCGGGCCGCGTAGTAGCGTCAGACCTGTTAAAACGTAAGTGAACGGGCATACTTCAAGTGCAAAGTTAGTCCACTAAACAAGCTTTTTTTCCCACAAAGACCGCCTCATATCATTAGGATAAATGTCAGAGAACATATAGAAAACGACATGTAAACGTGTTGTCTTAAATAAGGGCGGCCATCAAACTCTGCAAAATCAAATTCCTTCTCCACAAAGTCGAAGTCTGGCAAAAAGTCAGCCATTATTCTATAAATCTTTCATAAAATAAATGAATGAACTTTTCAGGCTACTGTCCGGTTCTGCCTTCCAGCTGTTGCTGCTTGTTCTCGCAAGATTTCAGGCACGCTATGAGATCGCTGCTTCTCGCTATATTTCGGCCGCGCTTTGGAAAGCAGAAAATGGGTTTGATGGCCGCCCTTATTTATTTGAGCCAGAATACACTGACGAAGAGCTTCGTGAAATTGAAGAACGGAGGAGGAGAGAGAGAGAGAGAGGCACAACAGGTAGAGGACGAGAGAGGAGGAATGGCTGCTGCAAGGCTGCGTAGAGATTGGTGGTGGTGTAACTGTGAATGCTGTGCCCAAGTGCCCACAGAAGAGGAATGCCGCTGTTGCAAGGAATGGGACCGGTTGCAGCCTTATTTTCAAGGTCTGGATGTGACCGAGGACGAGACACCTCCACCTGGAGTAGTATCCAGCTGGGCTTTATCTAGAGCTGGCGAGATATATTTCAGCCGCGCTTTGGAAAGCAGAGCTAGATGGTAAACAAACATGGCAGCACACCGGTAAGGTAAGACAACACGTTTACATGTCGTTTTCTATGTGTTCTCTGACATTTATCCTAACAATATGAGGCCGTCTTTGTGGAAAAAAAGCTTGTTTAGTGGACTAACTTTGCACTTGAAGTATGCCCGTTCACTTAGGTTTTAACAGGTCTGACGCTACTATGCGCCCCCGCTGTATCTAGGCTAACGGCTAACATGCTAACTATTATTTTTATGTCACTAGTCACTTGAAACAAATTTAGGACGATAGGAGACAGGTTGAAATAAACCGAAATTTCCCTTTAAGAGTAATGTTTCAACATACGTTACCGACAAGGCCATATATTATTACCACATACACATCCTCTTCATATATGAAGAAATGTTTATAGCATGTATGAACTACCCATATTAAACTTTGAATAAGTGCATATATTAAAAATATGTCAGTGATGAATTTTTATATGGTATTATATGTTTTTATCATACATGTTAACGATACATATTTAATTTATACATGCAAGATTATGTAAACCACATATAAACTTTTTTTTTAAATGTTATATGTGTTGTCTTTAATTGATTTTGATTTACGTGTCTATATTTTATGTTTACAAATATATCAACATATATTCATGCGCTTTGGGATGGACATATATATGTATACATCATATATATCATATATTAAGTATCTATATGACGAATTTTATATGGTATATGTTGCGACAATGTATGCTATGATATATATTTAATGTATACATGCAAGTTCATGTAAACAACATATATACAACTTTTTTAGGTTTATATATGGTTATGTTAACATATATAAACATATATTGATGGGCTCTGGGATAAACATATACGTACATAACACATGTCTACAAAATAAGCATATATATTTGTACATATTTTAAAAGTATCTATATTATGAATTTTTATACAGTATTATAAATTGCAACATGCATGTTTTCTTATTAATTTTGACATATATGTCTATCTTTTATATTTATTCACGTATATTATTTCAGCATATATAAACTGGCTTCAGGGTGGATATATAAGTAAATTACATAAATGTCTACAATATAAGCATGTATTATATTTGCAGATATATTAAAAGTGTTTATATGATGATTTTTTTATGCAGTATATGTTGTGACCATATATGTAGACGATATATATTCAATTCCTGTATGCAAGTTTGTGAAAACATATATGCATGATTAAATATGTTTTTCTAGCTATTTTTTTAAGATACATTTCTCTTTTTTTAGGTTCACATACAGTATATAATGCTAACATTTATGACACATTAATTTAAAAAATATTTGCCGCTCATATACACAAATAGCTTACAAGTAAGATTCAATTCCTGGTTGGCACAAGTCCTCAGTATGTTGCATGTAATACGTATAAATAACTACAGTATGTATGTATGTATGTATGTCACACATATGGCAATAAGACATATATGATGTTCCAATTTCTAACAGGTTTCATACATAGTTTGTGAATAAATGTACATATATGCTTTTACTTGGTGTGTACATTTGTTTATCTGATGTATGGAAAGTCAATATATGTACATACATCACATTTCCATAAAGCAAGTCTAATAATCCTGATAAAGTATATCTAATAATGTCTAATAATGTGTAAATGCCTGGGGGCCAGCTTTTCCTACATCATATGGTTTTTTTTTGTTTTGTTTTTTTAATTACAAACAAGTAACACAAATGCAACTGTTTCACCTTTATGTGAATACGTATTAAACTTTTTACCACTCCTGAAAGCGGCAACCCTTCGCTTTTGACTTAACTGTTCTGTGCTGTGGCCGTGTCTGCCACTTAGCAGGAAACATCTGCTGTTAGGCAACCGTTTGTTTGCTTGTTTACCAGCTGTCAATGAAAACACATTAGTTCCGGTTGCGTAGCTCCTACTGCATGTCTACAGACTGTATGACTGTCCTGCCATCGTGAGCTGAATGAAAAAAATGCAAAGTGATTCCACTTGATTACAAATATTGTGATAATCATCAAGTGTTTTGAAAGATAAGCTGAGGGCCGTCTAAAATCAATCTGCGGGCCACAATTAGCCCCAGGGCTGGACTTTGGACAAACCGGCCGGATGGGGTTCAGCTCATGTGAAGCTCAGTGATGAATTTTCTTTCAGGTGGGATCATGAGTTGAGTTCACAGTCATAATGGGTTTTAAAAAAACTTAAGTATCCCACTTCTCTTTAACTGTAGCTAGCGGCTGTGGAGAGAACCTGTACATGGCCAGCTTTAAAGACACCTGGAGCAACGCTATTCAGGACTGGTACGACGAGGTGAAGAACTGGCGCTACGGAGTGGGAGCTATCAATAATGGAGTGATCGGACACTACACACAGGTGCCCTTACAACACAGTTTGGACAGCTCTTATTAGACTAACTTGCATAGGAGTGGGCCATCACAAGTGTTTAATAATCGGAATGAGTTAAAAGGGACTAAGTAACCCAAATCGTAACTATAAAAACAGCATTATACAGAACATTAATGCCATGAGCTCATGATGATTTGGGTTTTATCTTTTGTTCTCTGCACAGGTTGTTTGGTACAGGTCCAACAAAGTTGGCTGTGGAATGGCCCACTGTCCCAACTCTCAATACAAGTACTTCTACGTCTGCCAATACTGCCCACCGTACGTAAAAAACATTTTTCTCCTGCTCAACGGAGTAGAGGCTTTTTTTTCCTCATATTTTCTCTCTTAGTAAATATTTACAAGAATACTTGTGTCTTTTGAGTTGAATGGATCCAAAATTAAGTTCCATTATGTAACATTAAATGTATCTGGGAGTTAAGGAAGAAAAAGGAAATAAAAAAGACTATTTTTTTCACACCTTATCTTTTTCTGATAAAACTGTTGTGTACATTTCAGATCATGATGGTCTTCTCTAATTTCAAATAATATTCAAAACACCATTAGAAAACTGAAGTGGATCCAAAAAATGCACCGTGCAGTAATGAGATACGAAACCGCAATTTCCATCTAATTTGTCCTTCTCACTGAGTAGTCTTTAAAAAAATTATTCAAAGTGCTTTGCCTTCTCAGATCATAATCCATGACACGTTTGGGCTGATATCCAGTGTGAGTGTCTATTGCTGTTACAGAATGTTTAATAATTGATGTTTTGGCCTTCATTACAGTGGAAACTACCAGTATGCTCGTCCCTATCAAGCAGGACCCTCCTGCGGCGACTGTCCCAATGCCTGTGACAACAAACTGTGCAGTAAGTGGCAAATACTGGCCACTCATCCATTTTTGTGGATGAGAATGGCTAATTGGAGTTTGAGTTATATCTTAGCATAGATAGATTTTATTTGAGATAGTAGGGAATCATCCTCCTGATTTTCACAACCTCCTGTGGTGGTGGTTGTCTTTTTCCCAGATCTCAATATAATGAACAAGACGGGAAAACTTTCACAGATCTTTCACTAAGCCCTGCCTCTTTCTAATGGTCCGACAAGCTGTCGGAGTAAGCATGGAGCCCACACTGTGACTAACTGCACTCCCTGAAGAAATATTATCATATTTTTGGATAAATGAAATAGTGATTCCAGAGAGAAGCAGACAGAGGGGTCTACAGTCTGTGTTTGAAGTATATATCCAGGATGTCAAACTGACTCAGCAGCAACAACAGGTTAAAAAGACAACGATAGTTAGACGCTAAAGCTGAACTATAGGCTACAGATCACAGTGTACAAGTGAACCACCACATCGCTGCTGATCGCCACACAAGACAATGAATATAAAGGGAAACTCTGCTGATATTGAACCAGCTGTGTGGCATCGCAGTGTGTGCAGATGAACAGTGTTCACTGGTTCCTGTACAGCAGGGTCGGTCTTTTTTTCACTGTTGTAATCCTTAAAAAGCAAAAGCAGCATGTGTATACATTCAGTAGGCTATATCTTCAGTAGCTAGCTAGCTAACCCTACACTTTTCAGGGTTTGATTTTGGTTTTGGAACAGGGAAGAAACGTTTATCTTTTTCCAACCTCTCCAGGTAACGAGTATCATTAATACTCGACGTGCCCCAGGCACAACATTTAAACATTTAGCTCCTAATCCACAAAACCAGCCTGAAAATGAAGGAAATCTGAAACGACTGCATTAGAGTCAATGGAGCACAGCTGTGTTGTTGTTGGATCCTGGGCTGAGCCAGACGGATGCTACGTTATGATTGGCCAGTCAGCGTCAAGGGGCGGGACTTAGCAAAGGGTCAATTTCAGCCTTCAGAATGCCTTCGAGAAGAAGATGTAGGACTCTGATCTGACTTGTGAGTTGTGTTGTGTTTTTTAACTAAGAATCTCTCTTTCTCTGTCTCTTGCAGCCAACCCCTGTCCCTACACTAACAAGTACAGTAACTGTGCTCAGCTGAAGCAGCAGTGGACCTGCCAAAACAGCGACATTGCTTCTTGGTGTCCCGCCACCTGCAAGTGCACCACTCAGATCATTTAAATGCCATGTGTCCACATGGACTCTGACTAATCAGTCAGTCTTAATAAAAGATACTTAAATTTGTGTCCCTCTGCTGATTCCTGAACAAGTCTAATAGCCTGAAGTATTAAACCAAAGAGTATAAATTTAGTAGAGTTTAGTGGAGGAACAAATCCCCAAAAGGGCTTTCGTCTTTGCGATACAGGGTAGAGCAAAGCGCTACCATGTTTTTTTCATAACTTTAATATGTCTAGTTAGTGAAATGGATTAATATGTAAAAATTATTTGAATGCAGAATTGTTTTGTTGTCTTTTGTTGATGTTTGGATCCTTCCCAAAACCAAAATTTGTGAATATTTAGACCATTTCAAAAGGGACAGCGTCTGCATTATCACATGTATCTCTAGAAAGAAACATCAGAATGTCACCAAATTTGGAATGGATGTTCAAAGATTTCACCAAAACCTTTGTCCATCACATGAATTACAGGCAGAAATTGAATATGTTTGTAGTTGACAAATGATAGACAAATGTTTTCCTGCAGAGTTTATATATCACCTTGGTTTGTCCTTCACCTTCTCAAAATGACCCCACACTTTGGATTTCCTGCCCGACATGTTATTAACTAGCCTGTGGAATAACCGCAGGTACCAGCCCTGGAAATTAATGTGACTCCTGCCTGACCACTGAGCGTGGCCACTTCCTGTGTCTGTCCTTTCAAATTAAATTCCCACATGGTCCAGTCATATAGGTTTTGATTTATTTTGACAGGGTGCAGCTCCTAATAGAGTTTCTCTCTTGTTTCTTTGTTCTTATTTTGATGTTTTCAGCGACAAAGCAACCAATGAAATCCTGCTGACTAATGACCTTTCTGAACACCGAATGTTTGGTTGACTATTCGGGGGCAGCCCTACTTTTTTGACATTTTTCATGTAAACAGTTAGGTGAGTGAGTCTCTGAGAAAAGTCACGGCACACCATTCCCGATTATTCTACATGTCTTGGTGTATTTTTTGCATATGTGCTATCGACGAGATGGAAAGAAAAATAATTCTAATTTTTAGTACATCAACAATAAAAAGTATGATGGAAAAATAAATCCTGTTGCATTTGTGCTGTGTACATCAGGCACACCTGGTGAATGATGCAACATCCAGTTGAGAGAGAAGCAACATTCAGACTACACATAAGGTGCCAGAGTACATGCATCAGACAAACCAGGGACAAAGCAAGACACAAAGTAAGGTGCTTGGTTTGTTGAGCTTGGGGGCAGCTGGATGTTGACAGCCTGTGGGAAGAGGCTGTTGTTGAGTCTGGGGGATTAAGGTCAAGTAGTCAGGCAGGTTCTTGTGACCACTAAAGTGAGGTATGTCATCACTTATACACAGTGTATATTTACAAAAGCTTGAGTTGAGCGTTTTAGCACATAAATGTTTTGCATATTTTCATTATATGTTTCATGTATTTTATTATTGCCTGATGTCAGACAGAATTGTCAACTTGTTACACTCCGTTTCCAGCTTCAGTCTAATTTTGTGTCCACTCTGACTGATTTCAGAGGATGAGGATGTTCCCTAACCAATCACATTGTTTCAAGTCCAGTGATGTTAAGAAGACTGTCAATTTAGAACTGCCTCGATAGCAGCACTGTCTAGTCTACAGTGGTCGCCATTGTTATTACTCCTCATTGGTTCCAGCGCACCATTTGACAACAGCTTGACAGCAGCGTTAGTCGCATCCTTGGCGCTGACTGGCTAGAGTCCCACCGCAGCACACATTGGTTGGTTTCTTATTTTAACTGAGAAACCGCTGTTTCAAGTCAGGAACGCGAGATGCATTAGTCAACTCAAACTCAGTGGAGTGGATGAATCTAAAAGTCTGGACCCAGGCAAATTTTATTCATGTTTTATGTTATACATTGGACACATTGTTTGTTTCACCTGGTTCCACAAAAAAAATCCCCTTGAGGATAATAAAGGTGAATAAAGTTGGCAACAGGGAACGGACCCAATCCAGACAGACAAACCAAGCAGACAGCAGATTCAGATGCTCAAGGAATGTCTTCCAGAGGTGCCACCAAGCCCAAAAATATTATGGGATTATTAGGCTATTAGCAAGATGGATGGATAGATGGATAGATGGATAAAGAAATTGGAAAATACCGTAAAACTTCAATTAAATGCCCTGTCCAGTTTTATAGTAGTATAGTAATATTCATAGTGGTTTAAATTTTTAAAAATGGCTGTATTTCCTGATCTTCGCTGAGCAACAGTTTTGTGTGAAAGGAATTAAAGGCCTGTCCCATATAGATGCCCGTCTCAAACATAGGCCGGTTGAGTTTAGTGATTTAAGCAAATCAAAGCCTTGGCTATTGATAGAGGTTTTACGGTATTCACAAGCGAAAGAATTCTGACTTTTTTCCTTTGAAAAATTACTCAAACTGATGAATTAATTATAGAATTAGTGACCAATTAATTTAATATTGTACAAGTAATTGATTAATCCATTAGTTGTCGCAGCTCTCGTCATAAACTAAGATAATGTTACCTGAGGGAGCCAATTAGCGCTCAGTTCTATTAATAGGAACCAGTCTTTGTCCAAGAAAATAAATGGACTTAGTGTTCAACTGGCAGGTTTATATCAAACCTAACTTGCATCAGACACGCTAATCAGTGTGCATAATGTAATTCGTGGTGCAGCATCTCATTGGCTTTGAGTGTTGGCTTGGCCTCTACATCAATGATATATACAATTTTGACATCCAGAAACATTATATACAGGTCCTTCCAAACCGACCTTGTTTGGTTCTGACTTTTGGACTTTTTAGTTTAGACTTTTTGACCCTAACTAAAATTACAGGTGGGACACCTCACCCAGACCAAATAGCCAAACCTGGGTCCGATTAAAAGAGGTGGTCTCTGTCCAGATCAAACTGTGCAAAGTGAGGACATTTTGGCTGGTCCTCACCTTTTCAAAGGTTTTAGCGAGAATTAGGTTTAGGTTAGGGTTCGACATTTAGTTGTGATGGTTAAGGGTAGGGTAAGGGGCTAGGGAATACATTATATCAATAATAGAAGTACAAGAATGTGTGTGTGTATGTGTGTGTGTGTGTGTGTGGGGTTTTTTGACAGAGAGAGTGACAGCAGCTGTGCTCAGAGTAGATAGGTGTTGGCGATCAGAGCAGAAGAGAAATTACCAGTAAAGTTGCCAGGAGGTGGTAAATGCACAGTGTAGGTTTCCCAGTCTTTTGTTGTCCTTTTCCAAACTTTTTTGGAACCATGTTGCAGACCTCAAATTCAGAATAAGTGTATCTTTTACCAAAAGCAATAAAGTTTACCAGTTGGAACATTAAAAATCAGGTCTTTGGACTGTATTTAATTGAATATAAGTTTAGAAAAATTTGCAAATCAATGCATTCTGTTGTATTTAGTTTATTTGAAATCATGGTTGAACATTAGACCATTGTTTTTTGCGTTATACTTTTTGTTTGTTTTTTAACAGATACATTTCCTCACAACATTTTTACTTCTTTGCTTTACTGTCATTACCATAGATTATTACTTTTCAATTTAAGATTATATTCAACATTCAAAACTTCACGTGAAATGCAGGAAGAGCAAGTTAGACAATGTGCAATAAAGCAATAAGAAAGACTGTCATCTATCAGTGCTGTATAGTACACGTGGGAATGAAACTGTGCTTCTTCTGGTTCCCGATGCACAAAAAAAAGAAAAAGAATGAATGATGCACATAAGGTGCAAGAGTACAAACAAGACACAAAACAAGGCACAAACATGTAGTGCAACACACAAAAACTGTTACAAGACTCAAGAAAAAAAAAAAAATAAAATGAGAATTTATAAATATTAATGTGAGTATAAAATAAGTGTTAAGTGTTAGTTGTGCAATAGCAGCAGTAGCCGTTTGTGGGTCCCTGAGGATATTTGTGTACAGTAAGTGTATGCATTAAGGGACTTTAAGTAGTCAGCCAGGTTGTTTGTCATTTAGAGGACGTATGTCACGTTGTGTACACGCTATATGTAGAAAAAAACAAAACAGAAATGATGCAGAATACAGAACACACGGTAGCATTTTAGAAGAGGTGAAACCATACAGGCCTGCCCCATCAAAAAGATCTCTATAAGCTGTCAAGGACAGAAGAGGGAGAAGGGTTTTTAAATCTTACGACCGCTCCCAGTGTTAGTTTAACCTTTTAATTTTCAAGGTTTCTTTTGATATTGCTCTCTTTCTTCTCATAAACTTAAAAAAAAGCAACATACTGCATGCCCCTCATCATGAAGAACACATGCACAACATAAAAAAGAGACCTGCAGCTTTCCATACATCATCAGGGATGTTTCCCAGATGCTTTGTTATCAAAATGCCCTGGAGTCTGTATGTTCAATAGTCACATGTTTACGTGGTGCTGTGTATATAAGTGACACCTGTGGCCTAGTCCTGGACATAACCATGGCGGTGTATACTTTCACCTTCCTGTGCGCCTTGAGCGTCTTTGCTGCTCTCCAGGTTCCGAGCACCGACGCATTCTTTTTTGATTGGTTTGTAAGTAAAATTTAATGTCCTCTCTAATAGGGAATTATATTGGGTGTTTATTTCTTGTTTGATAATCTGACAAATGTAGCTTTTCCTGTACGTACATTTCTATATTTTTGCTTCTAATGTGCAATAAACTGACCAATTATTTCCCTTCTATCTCTGAAAACCATACCTGAAGGGTGAGTGTTTGTAATTAGTATTATAAAATGTCAAATATTCATGCACATTCACACTTCACAAAATCCAGGTTTTGGGTTTTAATTGTGTTCATCTCTGTTTAGGAGGATCATCATCTTCAGAAGAGGAACAACCCTCTCAACGACTGTCCATCAGCAAAGCTGATCAGAATGAGATCGTGAACAAGCACAACGACGTGAGAAGAAGTGTTCAGCCCACTGCTAGCAACATGATGAAAATGGTAACATCCCGATAATGCAATAAAATTATTTCAGAGTTTTGAAAGCATAGTGTGCTTCACTGAATATTAATTCTCAGCATGGATCCTCACTTGATCTGGCCAATTAGTGCTTGATTTGGTATTACACATGCTCCCTCGTGCAGCAGATGGGTAAGGGATAAAATGATTTTCCAGACAAGCACACAGCACTCATTAATTTTCTGGTATATACACTATACCAGAAAATCAGTGAGTGCTGTGTGCTTGTCTGGTATATACACTATAATTGTCTAGATGTGCTAATGGCTGATCCTTCCACTGCTTTCCACAGAGCTGGAGCAGCGAGGCTGCAGCCAACGCTCAGAAATGGGCCGACAAGTGTACCATGAAGCACAGTCCTGACAGCTCCAGAAAGATCAGCTGTAAGTTCATTTATTGTTTATTTTACTGTAAACTTTACTTTATAAAACTGTCAACCACACTGTCATTTTACAAACACTGAACTACCATGTTACTTATAATTCTAAAGTGATGTGTCAAGCATTTTAATCTTGTCAGAGCGTAAAATTACCTACAGCAGTATTTTAGACCATCATGTGACATTAGATGCTTCACTGCCACCCAGGACAAATCACATTACTTAGAGTTAGCAGCTTTTTAAGGCTCTGTGTCCACCATATCTAAAGCATTTAATGGCAGAAACATTAGTGCTCGCAGTGAGTTCATTTCCAATGTAATCAAAATGTCATGGCTGGGTTTATAGACTAGTTTCATGTGGCAGTTCATTGTGTGCTTTCTTCAGTGTGGCTGGTTTGGCAAATATTTTAAGTATGGGTCTTGTGGTGATGATCATACTAGTGCTATGTCACCATTAAAAAACAGTTTAGATCTATTGAAGAGAACATCATTATGATGTGGCGATGAGGCGGGAACAGCATTGGTATTTGTTCATTTATAAAGCTTTGATGCAGATGCCTCCACCCTGTATTTCATTTGTCTTTAACTATGACCTCACATAATCTTGGTATGCGTTCACAGAATAGGTTGTTGCTTCACAGAACTACGAAGAATACCTTAAACTTAGACACTCTGCCACCCTTATGGCTGTTTAAATGCCTTTTTGAGATCTTGTTTTAATTGAGTGTACTTGCTGTTTACTATATAGCTACAGCTTAGCATGTATTTCTACTTTTAGCAATCATTTCCTGCTACAGTTGTTTGTTGTTTTGTATGATTTCATTTCTGTTTTAATTAATATACATGATGGTTCTTTGCATTATTCAGTGTTTTTACAGGTTTAAATCACCTGGTCTGTTTGTTTCGGAGAGAAAAAAAAACGTCTGTGGATAATTCGGCTCACAATAAAAACCTCCTTAACGTGTAGATCAAAAAAAAGGAGGGCACACATTAACTTATGAGAGAAAAGGGGCAAGCAAGAAGGTGATTTGTTTTTAGCAGTTTTAATCGCCTGGTGCGTTTGTTTTGGAGAGGAAAGGACCCCTGTGGATTATTCTGCTTCCGTAAAAAACCTCCTGAACAATGAACACTCAAGGAAATCTAGCCAAGAGAACTTCTGGCTGGCTGCAATCTGCAATTCACCACTAGACGCCACCAAATCCCACTAAATATTACACATTTCACCTTTAACTGAATTACTCATAATCATTAACTTAATCAAAGTTCAAGCCTCGAGCTGGAATGAGCTAGACACATAAAACTTGCCCCAACTGGAAATGATGTGCAAATGCCTCCAAGAAATATGACTCAAATAAGCCACATGGTGGCACTGTAATTAACACCCAAATGCGATTTTTGAAAGCCACGCCACTCACATCGTAAGTCCAACTGACTTGAAATTTGGCTCACATGTCCAGCACCATGTGATCTCCAAAAAGCCTCTTGGACCATAAAAGTCCACCATGATGGATTTTTTGCTATTATGCATCATGTGACAAGAGGAAAATAAATACACTTTTCTTTATTTTGACCTCATCAACACCAAATTTGCGACACAGCCTTAAGGGACTGAAACACACATTTCTACTATAAATGAGCAGGATCAGTTAAAAACATGTCTGCCACTTAACAAATTTAAAATCAATATCAAAAACTTTGGCAAAGGGTGGAGCTTATCAGTGAATTGTGTAGTTCCTGTAACAACAACACAGACACAGGTCGGTTCTCTCAAACAGGTGCTTATTCGAGCATTTCCGTGTCGCTGATACCTCTACTTGTTGTCACGCCATGAAAACTATTTTTAAGAATAAACATAACAGAGAATGCATCAATACAGTGCAAGAAGACAGAAGAGAAAACAAAATGGCGGTCAGCGCAATCAGGGACAAAGTGAAATAAACACCTTATTGGCTGCTTTTCATGAAAAGAGTTTCCCAAAGCTCTTTAAGTCCTTCAAGCGTCTCCCCAACCGTCTTTCCAACCATCCACTTCAACCTAAGACATTTACAAACAGAAAATGAGAGCCTAGCAAGACATTCTCAACACTGCACTATACACAGCCCCACAGCAAATTCCGCTATGGTGGCACACCTAACAGCAAGCATAAGTTCCGCCACAGAAATACAGATAAGTGAATAATAAACCTATGCCTTAGTAGCTTCAACCCTTGTAATCACGTACATTTTACCCTTATTCATCAACTCAGTGACGAGATTTACATTCTAATCGTAATGAGCTAAATTATTAATCCATGTATTTATCTAATTATGAGCTTGGTTATGCATCGTGCAAACTTCAAACTCAACATTTTTAAAAAACACTTACAAACTGGTCATAACTCAAACAAGCTGAGGTGACTTTGCTCAGCCTTGTGAAGCCGAAAAACCTGCTCGCTTCTGTTTGTGGCTTTGATTTCAGGCAAATGAGCTGCTTCCTTCTGGTGGCCAAGAAAGGGCTTGAACCTGGATAAAGTTGCGTTTGCCTTTGGATTGAGTGCATACAATTACAGATATGGACCAATAAATTGTAATGTGGGTTGATAAACTGTAATCTACATTTTGGAAAAATTAAAGCGTGTCTACAGTGGCAATAATATACATTATTTTTTGAGAAATGTACTGCTTAATTCTCAGCAATAGGTTTGGTTATGTGTTTGTTTATTTTGCTTATCACTGGATTGTTTGTATAGCTTTATGCAGTCTAGTTGTAATTTCATGTGATTGTGATATATTGTTTTGGCTCCGAAAAAAAGAAAACAAATTCAAATTAAGAAAAAAATATGTAGCAGGTCATACCGGAGGTGGACGAAATGAGCAGCCAGTGTCTGATATTCAATTTAAAAGTCAGCAGAGATTCAATACAACGACAGCTCTCAACTCGATCACGTAATTTTTTAACTTCTTCAAAAATCATCTTTTTCTGACAAAGAATTACATGAACAATGAGTGGAAGGAGCATTAGATAGAGGAGGAATATATAGTAGGTTTTATGCAAAGAAGGTGGTCATATGTCCTTAGGAATCACAGTTAGGGTTGGTCAGGGTACAGCCTAATTTCCTGGCTGTCACAAAGACACTGTGCAGAGGAGAAGAATTTCTTTCAGGTGTGATCATGAGTTGAGCACACATTAATGATTGGTTTTAAAGAACTGAAGTATACCCCTCCTCTTTAACTGTAGCTAGCGAATGTGGAGAGAACCTGTACATGTCTAGCGGGAAGAAAACTTGGAGCCAAGCTATTCAAAAATGGACAAACGAGGTGAAGGACTGGCGCTACGGAGTGGGATCTATCAACGGAAAAGTGGTTGGACACTACACACAGGTGCCTTTATATCACACAGCACTTGTTAATTCTGACTAACTTTGATCATCACAAATCTTTAATAACTCTAAGGGTTAAAATGGGCTCACCAACCCAAACCGTGACTATTAAAACAGTGTTATACAACAAATTAATGCCATGAGCTCCGGATGATTTGGGTTTTATCTCCTCCTTTTATCTCCTACACAGATGGTTTGGCACAACTCTAACAAGGTTGGCTGTGGTATAGCCTACTGTCCCAACAGTGACTACAAGTACTACTACGTCTGCCAATACTGCCCACCGTAAGTACAAAACATTTCTTTTCTTTTTAAACATAAATTAAAGTCATATTTTCTCACTTTTAGTGAATATTTGAGCCCAGTCTCACTTTGAAGTCGCCGAAATCCAGCGCTTATGAAGTGACTTGCGGCGTCAGAAACCAATGAAAAAAGGCATCCTTTAACTTCAGCCTGATTCGTGGCTGGTTGCCGTTATAGTTTAAAGGCGCGCGCCAGCATCAGGGGGAAACGTGGCAGGACAAGGACGAAAGTTAAGGTGGCAAAAGTCCCACTGGGGCAGGCAGGAGGGGTGGTGGATGGGTCCAACAAACACCAAATTTCACTCGTGAGAGCGGTGTTTGTGTACCGTAAGATTTTAAAGCCAAACCCTGTTCTTTTTTCCTAAACCTAACCACGTGTTTGTTGAAGGAAAAAAAAACTCAGTTTGCGGTGTTGTACCGACACAGTGCGTTTATTTTGAAAGAGACTGTGTGAAAACGTTAAATTTCCTGTGAAAACAAAAGCGTATTTTGAAAGAAGACAATGTATGTAACAGGCAGAACTTGACATGGCGTCCCAGAACGTCAACAACCAACGCACCCAGGGTACCTTCCATGACCAAACGTTGATATGTGACGAGGACGGAGTGAAAATGTGTTTAATATTTACATGAATATTTACGTGTCTATTGAGGTGAATGGATCCAGGGTCAAGTTCTGTTTTGTAATATTGATTGTATCTGGGGATTAAAAAAGAAGAAAAGAACATAGATAAAAATTTTAGTACATTTCAAACCTTGAAGGCTTTTTCTAAGTACAAATAATTTTGAAAACATCATTAGAATACTGAAGTGGATGGAAAAAAGGGACAATGCTCTGCAGTGAGGAGTAAAACTGCAATTTACATCTAATTTGTCCTTCTCACTGAGTAGTCATTAAATAGTTATTCAAAGTGCTTTGCCTTCTCAGATCATAATCTGTGATTTGTTTGCGCTGATATCCCATGTAAGAGTCTACTGCTGCTACATTTAATATTTGATGCTTTTGCCTACATTACAGTGGAAACTACCAGTACGCTCGTCCCTACAAATCAGGACGCTCCTGCGGTGACTGTCCCAATGGCTGCGACAACAAACTGTGTGGTAGTATTGCATGTAAGTGGCAAATACTGGAAGACTAATTCCTAACATTAATTTTTGTGAATGAGAATGGCTTATTTGAATTTGGGCAACACTTTACTACATTACAAACAATTTTGTTAATGTTTACATACTGCTTAAAAATGCCAAGTGTATGGGTTTGCCTTTACACCTTAACTGATTTATTAAAACATTAAATTTAGTTTAGCTTATTTGACATTGTCAGAGGGACATTAAATTACTACAAAATGTCAAAGGTGAAATAAAATCCAGGATGTTTTCCACTGTAGTCTTTAAAATAGAGTTATAACGCAGGACTAGGTTGCATCACATATAATAAAACAATATATTAAAAACCTAAATTACCTTCCCAACAAGTTAAATAGCGAAAAGTAAAATGTAAATATTACATACCAGTTATAAATAGATGAGTTAAAGCTACAGTTGGTTACTTAAATGAAAATAACTTTGTGTCATATTTGCTAACACTGTCACTATATTCTTAAAGAAGAGCAGGAGACAGTCTGTGAAAAAAAAAATCATGTCTAACCTCCTTTGACTACTGTCTCCAATGACAGTGGCTAAAATCTACCATGGTGCACCAAAAACAAAAACCACGTAGGAAAGAAGCAAGCACTCTTAAAATAAATCCATTCAACAGGTGCACGGCCAAAAGCAGCAGAAAAAAGAAAAGAAGCCAGCACTCACAAATGTCCTTTTGGTAAATTTAATAAACCAACTTGGGCGGCGTTACCAGAAACACAGACGTTTCGACAGAAAGTCAAGATTGTTAATTGAGGGACAGCGACTCAGTGACTTCTTTGCACTTTATTTTTTTACTGTGCATTTGTGATCTGATTGTTAATTGAGGGACAATTTGTTGATTTTAATTAATGGTTATTTGACAGTTGGGTACTTTATTTGACCCCTCAAGCACACATTTTACTGTTGATCACAGTGCCTTTTTGTACGAGCAGAATTTATTATGCACATGTATATCGATTTTCAGTGTATCTACTGCTATTTTGCTGTGACACACGTGTTTAAGATTGTTGTATTGTTATTGTGTTTTTCTTTGCCTGTGACTTGACACTATATTGTATGGCGGAAGTGTAAATTGTCTTTCCACACACCTGCTCTGATTGCTTCGAGCGTACTTAAACGCCACTTCCGTAACCTGAGTTACACACTGTAGAAGACTTTCTGTCGAAACGTCTGTGTTTCTGGTAACGCCACCCAAGTTGGTTTATTAAATTTACCAAAAGGACATTTGTGAGTGCTGGCTTCTTTTCTTTTTTCTGCACCAAAAACAACCAACCAGAAATGAGGAGTCTCTGATGCAGCTGTCCATCATGTCAGTCACTGCTTGTGAACTGCAGTCAAACTGTCAAGCTAAGCAGCGCTGATCAAATTTAAAACAAGATACTGTTAGCTGCATTGCCTTTTTATCATCTCAAAGGTTTTCAGAAACTGTAAAATGAGAAAATTTGTGACCCAGCTGTGATTTTGAAGACAGTCGACCAAAGTGTCAAGCAACGCCCACCGGCAGACCAACATTTTCATTTTACAGTTAAATGATAGGGGTTTTAATCTCATCACGTCTCATCACGATACGCATCGATACTTTGGACAATGATACGATGTTTGCCGATATTACAAAGTCTCCCACAATACAATTCAGATTTGCAGAGGACGCAGCAACCCCTTTGTTTTTAGCTTTTGTCCATAAGTAAAAAAAAAAAAAACAACATAAATAATGTAAACAAGTGCAGTAAAGTTTACTTTAAACGGACTCCACTAACACACATATAACAGCACGTGGAACAAGTTCACCCTCAGGCTTTTCTATTAGAAAGACCTTTCTGGAAGAAATGATTTCACTTTAACCCAAATAATTATCTTTTTCCTAAAACTTCAGAACTATTTGGCTTACAGCCCTGAAGGCAAACTTCTCCCTCTTCTTCTCTCCCAAACTTCACCATGTTTTATCTCGTTAACAGTATTGTTTACATTCACCATGTGCTCTGTCTGTTGACCCTTATTTTCTCCATAATCTATAATATTTTCACACTGCTGATTTATTTTCCGAGTAAATAACGTTATCCTCGTCATCTTTCTCTTGGCCGCTTGACATCTGCCTGCCACTGTTTGGCAGTGACACAGACTCTCAAAGTGTATCCCAAAAATGGAGATATAGATCATATTTTCATTTTGCATCGATGATACTGGATCATTGATCATTGAATCGATATATTGATCCAGACCGATGGATTGTTACACCCCTACTAAACAGTACACTAAAGTATGTTTCTGAAAACATGAGATGAGAAATACGCAATGCAGTAACAGAATTTTGATTCATATTTGATCAGCGCTGCCTAGTTTGACAGTTTGACCGCAGTTCACAAGATGTGATTGACATGATTCACAGCTGACTCTTCTGCTCTGATTGGTTGTTTTCATTCATGTGTGGTAAGGCCATTAGAAGCGCTACAAGAGCAGGCAGAGGAGCATGATTTTTTTTTTCCCCACAAATTATCTGTCTTATTCAGTGTTGTGTGAATATAGAGACAGTTTCAGCAAGCTTTTTTTTTTTTTTTTTTGAAGTTACCAACTACAGCTTTAAACCTCAGTGAGTGAAGCTCACAAAGTTTCTTTAAGCACAGACAGAAATAATAGAAAACTATAAGCAGAAGAAATAAATATGTCCTTTTTTTAATTGATTCATGACCATGGTATACATTTTATAAGCAGGATAGCTAAGTAGTTAGCTCAGTATATACCTTAGTATAAAGAGATTTTTTTGAGATAACAGGGAGACCACCCAGCTTCCTCATTTTTGCAACCTTCAGTTTTGCATTATGTTTTTCCTGGATTTCAACGTAATGAACATGACAGTGTAGCTTTCTTTGACTCCAACCAGTGAGATCATTTCTGCCTTCAGAACATTGTTGTAAGACTCCAATCTGACTAGTGAGCTCTCTTGAGTTTGTTTTTTTATTTATGCATTCATTCTGCTTTTTTTCTGTCAGCTGGAGGCACCTCGCAACGCTGTCGCTACAAGGACAAGGCCTCTAACTGTCGCTCGTTGAAGCAGCAGCTGAGCTGCAAACATGGCCTGGTGGCTTCTTGGTGTCCCGCCTCCTGCAAGTGTTGATTTAATGCCACAAGTCCACATGGACTCTGAGTCATCAGTCACTTTCAATAAATGATACACTTTGACACTTGTGTCCCTCAGTTGATTATTGATCAGGTCAAAAAGCCTGAAGTACAACCCGAATTCCAAAAAAGTTGGGACGCTTTGTAAAGCGTAAATAAAAAAACAGAATGTGATGATTTGCTAATCCTTTTCAACCTGTATTCAATCAAAGAAACTACAAAGATATGTAATGTTCAAACTGATAAACTTTATCAATTTTTGTAACACTTATTCTGAATTTGATTCCTGCAACATGTTCCAAAAAAGTTGGGACGGGGGCAACAAAAGACTTCAAAAGTTGCTGAATGCTCAAAAAATACCAGGTAAACAGGTTAATTGGTAACAAATGACAGCATCATTATTGAGTTTGAAAGGGGCATCCTTAAAAGGCTCAGTTGTTCATAAGAAAGGATGGTCATTTTGTGAAAAAACTGTGTGAGCAAACAGTCAAACAGTTTAAGAACAAAGTTTCTCAGTGCACAACTACAAGGAATTTAGGGGTTTCACCATCTACAGTCTATAATATCATCAAATGATTCAGAGAATCTGGAGAAATCTCTGCATGTAAGGGTCAAGGCTGAAAACCTTCGACCCCTCAGGATGCACTGCATTAAAACCAACATGATCGCATAAAGGATAGTACAACATGGGCTCAGGAACACTTTGGAAAACCACAGCCACTACACACAGTTCATCACTGCATCTACAAATGCAAGTTAAGACTCTTCGATGTAAAATTAAAGAAACGCAGTGGACTTCTCTAGACCCCAGCTCATCTGAGATGGACTGACACAAAGTGTAAAAGTGTGCTGTGTTCTGACGAGTTCACATTTCCAATTGTTTTTGGAAATCATGGACATTGTGTCCTCTGGGATAAAGAGGAAAAGGACCATCCAGATTGTTACCAGTGCGAAACTCAACGCCGGCATCTGAGGTGGTATGGGGATGTATTAGTGCCCATGGCATCATGGGTAACTTGCACATCTGTGAAGGAACCATGAATGCTAAAAGGTATATACAGGTTTTGGAGCAACATATGCTGCCATCCAGACAATGTCTTTTTCAGGGACGTTCCGTGTTTATTCCAGCAAGATGATGCAGAGCCACATTCTGCACGTATTACAACAGCGTGGCTTCACAGTAAAAGAGTGAAAGTATTAGACTGGCAGGCTGCAGTCCTGACCTGTCTCCCATTAACAATGTGTGGTGCATTACCATGCAAAAATGCAGAAATGGAGGCCTCGGACTGTTGAGCAGATGAAGAATTTCACTTTAAAACTTTAACAGCTAGTGTCCTCAATTCCAAAACGCTTACTGAGTGTTGTTAAAGAAGAAGGTGATGTAACACAGAGGGAAACACGCCCCTGTCCTGAGTTTTCTGAAACGTGTTGCAGGCATCAAATTCAGACTAAGTGTACATTTATAAAAAAAAAAAAAATTATGGTAAAGTATATGGGTTTGAACATTTAATAGCATGTATTTGCACTGAATTCAATTAAATGTAGGCCCAAAATGATTTGCAAATCATTGATCTCTATTTTTTATTTACATTTTAAAAAGCATCCCAACATTTTTTGGAGCTGGGTTTGTATTGAACCTGAGATTAGAAAGGAAATTTACTTTGGCACAGCACCCTTCTGGACAAACACCGCCTGAAGGGGCAGGTACCCTCTGACTCTAAGTGAGGGCTAAACTCAAAAAGAGGAAGTAGAACACATTTGACAGGGTGGATTTGGCAGGAGTGGGGAGGAAAAATTAATTCCACATTGATTTATTAAAGCTGAGCCAAGTAACAGTTTGAGACCACACCTGGTTACTGCTGCTAATTATAAAGACCCTTACCAATGAGTAATCATTTTGTCCTAAATATATGTCCAAGCTTTAAACATTGTAAATCCAGACCTCATTAGTGACGGCCAACGCTTTAAAATATGTAAATGATTAGTGTTTTCAGACCCTTTTATTTTATCATGATGCACTGATAACACTGTCAGGTAACTTTTGGGAGGGCTTCCTGTGGAATTGGGCTGCATGGATTCTACAGGAAGCCGAAAAGGTTACTTCCTGTTAGATAAGATGGTTGCTTGACTTTAGAACACATTGGCTCCCATTTTAAAGGAAGTATTGAGCAACTGTTTATAATAAACGCTAAATGGTGAAATGTAACTAAGGACACTAAGTCTGTATTAAATATTTCCAGCGTAAACTACATTAGACATTCTACTCCACTTCATTTCAGGGGGAAATATATTTACTCTGTCATATATTACTGGTTTTATTTTGTATATTTTGCAATTACTTAGTTTAGTCTGAAATGGAGTCCTTTAGTTTCATTTTTTATGAAAAGTGAAACCATTTTCTGGTGTAGCAGTAATATTACAAGCTGTATTCAATACAAATCAGAATCAGCTTTATTGGCCAAGTACATGTGTGCACATACAAGGAATTTGACTTCAGTAAACTTTGCTCTCAATGTAGCAGTATTGACATTAAGAAATCAAATCAACTCATTTCAAGAATTTTTTAAAATAATGTTTTTCTTAATTTTATTGCAGCGATGGTGCCTCATTCTTTTGTTCTTGAAAACAGATTGAAATATTTAAATTGTACTGAAAAATACATTTTCTGGAGCTAATTACTGACAGAAATGTTTTATAAGATTGTATGTTTGCAGAATACTTTATGAAGTAGTGAAAATCAGCTCCACCCTAACAAGCAACAACAAAAATGCTGCTATTACATGATGCATCAGTGATGGTCCTACAACACTATGACAGGAGTCATTTAGCATAAAAAAGTACTTTACTTTTGTTACTTTAAGTATATATTGCTCAGAACACTTTGGACTACAGCCCACAAATCAATGAAGTACACACTGAGACAATATTCAAGTACTGGGGGAAAAAGGCAAGAGGTCATGAAACAAGGGGGTAATAACTCAGTGTTTGAGATTTTCTTAGAGGGGGATACAAGGCAGGAACAACGACTATATCGTCTATAGTGCTCGCCATTGTTATTACTCCTCATTGATTTGGCGCACCACTTGATGCTCATCAGTCATTTTTTATTACAACCAAGAAACCTCTGTTTAATGTCACAATGCCAGATGAATCAGTCAACTCTGCAAAGCAGGTGGATTCAAAGGTTGGACCCGTGCAACCTTGTTACTTTTAATAATGTATTGTACACTATTCTTGTTTCTGGGAAGCAAAACATTAGGCTTTGGACATCCTGAGCAGCAGCGGTGCCCCTGAAATTTTTTTTAGGAGTGGCCACTACAAATGTTGGGGTGGGACACCAAAATCGCAAGCCAAAATAAGTTGGATAAAATCTATGTCAATATTGAGAGTTAAGGGATCGCATACTGATATACTTTCCTATTTTAGAGTTATGTTACTTAATTATCTGATGTGCACAGATTAATGGATGAACAGTTAACATTTTGGGTGCCACCATAATCCTGTTTTGATGTGTTATGTATCTGCATATCCATGTGTTAGCCAGTTCATTGGTCTTCATATAGGCTGGTGGTACTTTCCCTTAAAAAGACAAATATACAGCCTTAATTTAAAGGAGTACATTGATTGCAAGGAACAAAGCATTTACTCAGGACAAGGCTTCTTGAATTTAGGGGAGACCCGTGGGTACACAGAACCCATTTTCATTCAGATATCTTAAGGTGGGAGCTCAAGGGACCCCTTTGAAAATGGGTGTGCCAGTTGTTCCTTTGCCAAAATGTAGCCTAAATTTGGAGCATTATTTACCCCCCTTCCCAACAGGCTTAGCCAACATGGTCGATACCAATGCTGCCTCGTGATGCCTAGTGTTATTGTTCGCTGGTCCACAGTAAATACACTTTGTTCTTTCAACATTGGATTGTGCTATTAATGTGCTAACTGGCTAACTACCGTCCAGACAATCTTCCAGCTTCTCTTTCTGAATGAGGATTACAGACTACTGCCATCTGCTGGTGTGAAGAGTTATTTCCTCTCACGCAGGTGCAGAGCATATGAGCTGGTTGCCCATTGGCTGTAGTCCTTGTGGTGTGTTAATGTGCAACTCTTTTGGCCAAGACCGGGCGACATCAGGCAACACAGCAAGGGGCCTTTGTTGCTGTTAGTTCTGTTGGTTTGGTGTGTCTGGGCCTTTAGGCTGTCTAGTTTTACAAGATGACACTACCTTCATGCTAACTTAAAAAATTAGGGCACCACAGCTGCTCAACTCTTTCCCCGCCACTGATGAGATTTTCCTGCAATTTGTGTTTTCACTGCTATAAGATAGGGGCGCTGTTACACATCTCGTGACATAAGACTGCATTGCCATGTCCAAAAACAAACGACTAAGAAGATCCGCTGGAAACAGGAAGAAGATGTTGCAGCATGTAAAGGGCACGAAAATGCTGGCGCCAACGGAAAAGTTTACGGATCTACTTTCTGAATCCGATTTGGACGTTTTTTTTTTTTCATTAATAACATTCAAACTGATGTAAGGACATGATAAAAAACAAAAAATAAATTATAGCTGTTGCGCAGCGATGGGTCGGGTCCGGGCATTTTTAGGCAATTCTGAGCAACAAGCAGAAGAATTAGAAGACATTTAGGAATTTAGCAACACAATCTGCCTTTTGCATCAGCTGAGACACTCACTTCTATCTCACTGAGCTAATTAGTCAGTGACAATTCATGTGTAGCTTCACAAATTGACTAAGCCAGACGTGCAGGTTTAGTAGCTGTCCATGCATGGAAAAGCAGATTTCAAACCACTGTAAAAAATTCAGTTATCGAAACAAAAATCTGAAAATACACATACTGCATCTAGACAGCATGGAGATGTTGGTCATTTATTTTAACAATGATTGATTTGCTTCATAAGTGAAAAACTGATGTTTAACTATTGAGCTATGTGCAAAGTGAGAAGCCTCAGATGGTTTCACACTGAAGTATTGACATTGGATCTTTGTGCAAAGTTTGGTTTATTTTCAAGCAATGAGAAGGCAGATTTTCTAGCAGAAAAAAGACTTGAA